TAGTTGATTCATGCTGATAGCTAAGTTGGTGCAAACAACTTGGCGAACTGTTCGGTTTATACGGTTGTTATAAACCAACTTATAACTAGGGGACCCTACCTTGTAGTACCCCCTCCAAAACATAAAACTGCGCAACTCTACCAAAATGCTGGTAAATTGAGTTTTCTTAACTATTTTCTAATATGTTTGGGGCTTACAACATACCTCCAAAAATCTGTGGGCAACCCTATAGCAAATATAGTAATATAGCAGACAAATTGGATGGCAGAGCTTTCGCTGTGCTCCGCTGTTCAAATTTGCCCGGATATGGGGATGAGTCCAAAAAATTGCGACATACTTAGGAATTCATTCAGTGGCTTCTAGTCTTGAAATGATATGTATTGAGATATACCCCACTGACTAGGCGGCTGTGTGCCAATTTCACGGGCCATTCATTTCACTCAACTAAAACAATTCACGGCCATGTTACAGATAGGAAATGCAGCTTCTTAGTCCCTGAATTTGCAGGGAAAATCTACAGGAAAACTCTACATTTCATGTTGGAAACCATTTTTCCTCCAGATTTTCCCAACAAAACCAATCCAAAGACTTAAGGCAACCCCCAAAAAATGCCCTTCGACCAGGCCACCAGGATGTTGCTTCGATGATGGTGAACCAACATTTACCAACATTTACCCGGCCTGGTAAACGTTTACATAACGAACTGGAAAGATCCACCATGCTATTGATGGTTCAATCAACAATTTCTATGGAAAATCATCATTTTTAATGCGAAAATTCACTATAAATGACCGCTTTTTGTATGTTTACCAACATTTACCAACCATAGTTCCAGGATGTTCCAGGTTTCCCCATAGGCTTTTGCCACTTTTCGGCATTGCGCTGAAACCGACCAGACTTCCCCACCGACCATTGTGGATCAGCTCAAATCCTCCGCCTCAGCGGCTGAGGCTGTTCTGAAGAGAGTCGAAAAAAATACTCGACAGTAACTTAAAGGAATGCAACTTAAAATTTCAGAACGAATACTTCACAAAATCCCGGTCTGAAGAAAATATCGGCGAAACATCTGGTTTTTGTATGTTTTTGTTATTTGTCTGTTGAGATCTATGACTTTTCCTGCCAGTCTCCATCAAATGCAGCGCTAGTCATCAAGGAAATCTGGTAACATATGTGCCCATGGTCACAAGATGGTATGTAAATTGAAATCCCACCATCAATGGCCCAATTTATGGGTAGAAAAAATAACGTTTATGAAACCGGGAAACCGATGACCGTCCCCCAATCTGGGGTATACAATTCAGTTTCTGATCGTTCATTTTATATATCCCATAAAACATACTATTAAGATGAATTCCTATCTTCAATGATTAAAATATATCCTGTTTTTTTTACTTCAGCTATGATGAATTTTCCACCTCTGGATGGCTTTGACTGGTCTAGATCTGTGAAGGAACTAGCAGATTTGCGGAAGTTGAATTGAATGAGTGAAAATACACAAACATCCACTAGCATCCACGGGCTCACCTTGTATTTTTCATTCAATCCATGGACTCATAAGCTTCCAACCTTACGAGCCTATCAAATGTCATCTCAAAAGACCTGAGAAGTTTGCCACTACCAGATTTACATGTTGCATTCAGCCTGCCATTTTGGGACATCTCCTATGTTTAAAACAAACATACACTCTGAAATCTAACATGGGACCATTATATGGCCAATCTTGAAATTGACCCAGCTATCAGCAACAAGAATCAGTTTCCAACATTGATATTCATGGATATTCAGATATATTCATTGATATTCAATAAGACTTCCACATGTTCCATAAATTTCCGCGATATAAGCCATTGATCAGTGCCATCCTTGGCTTTGCGAAAGTCCAGCAGCTCATCTTTTTTTCCACGGCTGCGGGCGATTCACGTTTCGTGAGGCCGCAATGGGGTTTCACGTCGAAAAACGTCCAAAGGAATTGGTTCTATGAGCAAAACTAGGGGTTAAACAAACTCTAATCTAATGCAGAGATATGTATATATATAATATATATAATGGGATATTTCATGGGCTATCCAAGCAACTTAATCTCCTCTATGAGCAAAAATGGGGATTAATTCATCTTTAATCGGCATCTATCGGATATTTCATGAGGTATCCAACCAACTGAGTGTGATTCGGGTGTGTCTGGGAATGGAGTATACCCCAAAAATTGCGATTTTCAGAGGGATATTAATAGCGATTATCCGTTGGATTTAGATTGATTTAGGGGTACCTTATTTTCAGACAGAACCATGTGTGGATCCAACCATCCAGTGAGGATTTGATAATTTAATATGGGAGTTCAATGAGAACATGATGCAAATGAGCAATTTAATATGGGAATACATAATCATATTCATATACTATATGTTAATAATATAATTATATATTATATTAACATATATCAACGTATATTAAACATTTGATTCCACCTGAAGGCATCCATTTATTTTGTTGGGGGGGGGGGCGACGCATCCATTTCGAGTCGTCCAAGCAGAAAGATCATGTTGCGGAAACAATTTCATTGGGTACGTTTCCCATCGGTGGTACCACGTGGAAAATGCTTCCCATTGGTGGTACCCCCAGTTCTCATTCATTGATTCATAGGATTGTCCATGTTTTTTTTCGATAGGATTGTCCATGAAATCCATCAACCATGGTAAATCATCCATAAATTATCAACTTTAAATAGGTTCATCATCCATTCATAGATGGATTTTCCATGAAATGCACCATCCAGCTATTGGGGGACCATGACTTAGGAAACCTCCATAAATCTAAGGTTGGCAGTCGAGGCAAGATGTCACTCCACGAGTTTGGCTATTGCAACTTTTCTGGATATGCAGGGGGTGTCGTCAAGACTTCATTGTCAATTCCAAAGGTGGTTGAACACGCTAAAAGTTGAGACGATATGATCAAGAGATTGGTCTAAGGGAAAATACTCCAGAAAGAATGGTGTCCTTCTCAATGTTCCATAATTTTGCCTGCATTGAACAAAAATGGGACAGGACTATCTCTGGTTCATCCATATGGCTTGCTTGGGATTTTGGCTGGGGACATGAACCCACCACACATTTTCGCTGCCGCCCTTCTGTCGCAAGCATCTGAAAGAGTTCACTGATCTGATGCCCGAATTCGCAGATGAAATGCCCACAACTATTCCATCTTCATCCCCATTTTTTGTTGTCATCGGTTTAACCCCTTAGTAAATATTCATCCCAAAAAAAGGGGATCATAACCAAAACTATTCATCCTCCGTAAACTTTGTAGGCTGCATTGGTTTAACCCCTTGTTTCATCTTTTTTTGGGATGTGAGTCTATCCTTCCCAAGCCGCAGATATCCATGATGGCCGGAGCCAGGTGCATCAAGGCGACACGGAGCCGCATCAGTAATCCTAGATGCCGCAGTAATCCTAGAAAGATGTAGTTTTTTTTCCGGAGATTGTCTGGTTGGTGGTTCTTCCAGGATCAATTAGGAGGCCAATACTTTAATATACTTTGAGCTGGGGAAATAGTGTCCCATCTTTGGTCAAAACATATCCAACAGGAAGTGAAACCACGAACCAGTCTTGTTTCGGGAGTTTCAAAAACCCAATGGAGCGAAGATTAATTTTGCAACTTTAGAGTCTCTGACGTATCCGAAGCTTAAGTGACCACATGTTAAGTACAGTGCAAGAGTCCCCCCACAAAAAATTACAAACTATCTCCCAGCGCTTGTTCAGCGCTATCCCAGCGCTGTTCAGCGCTATCCCAGCGCTTGTTCAGCGCTATCCCAGCGCTTGTTCAGCGCTATCCCAGCGCTTGTTCAGCACTTACCCTGATGCTCTTACAGCATCTTTCCCGTTGGCCGGAGCCTGCAATACCTACAGCGGAACACACCGCTAACTACAGCGGAACACACCGCTAACATGTAACAGAGCGGACAACCGCTTGAAGTTTAGCGTTGGCACGGAGCCCAGGAATTACTTACAGCGGTAATCACCGCTAACATGTAACAGAGCGGACAACCGCTTGAAGTTTAGCGTTGGCACGGAGCCCAGGAATTACTTACAGCGGTAATCACCGCTAACATGTAACAGAGCGGACAACCGCTTGAAGTTTAGCGTTGGCACGGAGCCCAGGAATTACAGATGACGTGCAATGCTTCAAAAAACAGTCAATCCAGTTTGGTGATTCAAGTTTCAAAAATGGAATGTGTTCAAGCTTCATGTGCTTTTTCAATGTTCAGTGATCACTCTTCAATCATTTCGTTTCAAGTCAATGTTCATGGCCTTTGTTCATATTTTTCCACGGGCCGCAGGCTCCTTTTTGGGCCGCGTGCGAGGGCTGACCTTCTGAACGGATGCACCCAAAAATTTTGATCCAACCCTGGTAATGTTAGCCAAAACATGATTGAAGAACCAGGAATTCAGCATAATTCAGCAAGATTCCTGGGAACAAAAAAATTGGTTTCTTAGTTCTTGGCTACTTGGACCCCAAGAAATACTGCTTTCTGTTCTGTTTTCTTCAGAATTGTGAGATTCAATGGTTTCTCTTTGGTGGTCCAGGTAACCAGGTAACTATTCAGACATATCTACTTTCTGCAACTCCCAGTACCTCAATATTATCAATATTTTCATTTTTCGTGTTGCTGTTTCTACTTTTTCTTTGGCCGCCGCTTCAGATGCTTGCTCCACCCCATCAGGGTGCCGGGCGTTTCTCACAGCATCGCTAACACAGGCGGTTCATCGGCATCGGTGGAAGAAATCCTGCACCACCTTATATGGTTGAAAGCCTATAACAATTGCCAAAGTCCCCATACAAACCCATAGAATCCCTATATTTCATATATGACAATCCCCTAAAGTCACATATATTTATATATATAGCTAATATATAACTACTGTATATATATATATATGTAGTAAATCTATAGATATATAGTAAAAATCCCGGTCCCATGGACCATCCACCGTTTTTTCCACCTCTCAGCCAGTCGCAGCATCCGGCTCTAAGCATCCGTCAATAAAGTCCTGGTCGGATCCAGGGAAATGATGCATATACACCCATAGAGTGTGTATGTCGATATGTATATATTGTGTGTATTAAATGAATATATATATATATACATAATAAATATTCTATTATAATATTTGTATTGTTGTATTTACATATATGTGCCTTGAATTGTTGACTTAACTGTGCAAAAGGGGTGCAGTTGTGGTGAGCTGCTCCTGGATAGTCCCATTCTTTTCAGGGTCCCGTGGGAAAATAACGGGATACAACTAACCAAGAAGCGAATATGGACGGATTTTATGATTTATGATGGGATACAGATCCTTCACATAATCAGATATATGTTTGAGGATAGAATTCCTGGGGCATGGATAAATGTGTCTAGTCATATTATACGTATATATATATATATACATATCATTCTATTAGTAATTGCACTATGATGTATTGATGAGCATGTACTATACAGTGAATATGTACAGTCCATTTAACATATATATATATATACATGTTGTCATTGTTTGAAAGAGAACCACAACTAGGGCTCTATGGAAGAAAAACCGTGCTTTTATATTGTTCTGCAGTTCACCTGGTTTGGGACACATAGTTCACAAGCCTCTCAAGTGAGCGTTGTCTGCAAGAACCTTTTTTGTTGGTCCGTTCTTCTTTCTTGTTCAGATCCATTCAAATCCCTTTTTGGTTGGTTAAACCATATTTTCTTTTTGGTAAAATCCGCAGTCCTGTTGGTTCGGTTAGATCACCATTTAGATTTCCATTTCAATATCCAATTCATTTGAGCTAGATTCCATGTCATCCCATGGCTAATGCGATAAACAAGAATTAACATTGGTTAAATCACCATTTGTGTTGGTTAACTCCGCATTCCCATGTGTCATGCGAGACAAAAATTTCCAAACGTCATCAGGGATGACCTCGGAAACTACCCAACTGGGGTGAAGATGGATCATCCTGAAAAATATGACTTCGTCAGTTGGGATGACGACATTCCCAACTGAACGGAAAGTTATAAATTCATGGAAAAATAATCCATTCATGTTCCAAACCACCAAGCAGTTTTGCAATTTTGATAGGGGAAAAAAAAACGCGAAAACTCTACGCAAGGGTTCCTGTAGCTTTGCACTTCAATGACTTCTAGGAATGTTTGACCCTGTCAACAAGTTCAGCAATGACCACCCAGAAGTCCAAGAAGAAAATACTCAATCAGATGTCAGAAGGTTGGGACTGAGTGAGGTTGATTTGGACCCGCCTTGTCCTTTGGACATGTCTTCAAACTTCAGGGCTTTTTTTGCCATTTCCAGGGCTTCAAATGTGTTCTGTCCCTATCAACCTTGGGAGGGTGAAGCATCAACCAACCATCGAAATTGGGTGGATGTAAGGGATCAAGATTTCACTGAAAAAAACAGAAAACCATCGAAAAAAAAAAAAACATCGCTCACCTAACAGCTCCACCTTGAGAATAGCCTATTCTTGGGTTGGAAAGTAGTCTGAAAAACCCCCAAATCACCAACTCAAGGCAGGGTCATCATATTAGGTGGGGGATGCTAGTCTATACCCTCTGTCATTCCAGTAACTCAGTATACTGGTTGGTTATGGAACAGGGATTCCCAGTTCATGGATGATGCATCAACCCCAACATATAGGGTACTCAGGTCCCCCAACAAATCATCAACGTTCTGTCTTTTTGGGGGTCACTATGACTATGACTGCTTGGTGGTTGACCTACCCCTCTGAAAAATCATGGAGTTCGTCAGTTGGGATGATGAAATTCCCAATGGAAATCAATGTTCCAAACCACCAAACAGATGATGAAAATAGGGCTTCAACTAGAAAACAACAAACTCGATGCGTGACGTTGACCGGACCTGGAAGTTGCGCTGGAAGTGTTGACAGGCGGGGAATGCCACCTGAGGCAACACTTTTCAAAGGGACAAGGGAACCAAAATCCACAAAGATTGTTAATAATGGTCAGTAATGGTTAACAATGGTTAAATAAAGGTTAAGTAATGGTTCTAGTGATTACTATATCAACGTACTGTGGATGCTTCAGAAATCTTGCACATTGCGGCAGGGTAGATGGGGGATCCCATATCCACAAGTCATCCAAGTTACCATGGGTGTCAATACGAAGTCAAGTCGTATCTGACTTGGATGATTTGGGAGTACCATGACTTAGGAAAGCTCCAGATATCAACATGTTTAATCGGTACAGTTATGGCAATTTATCAGTTATAAGTACTAACAAAACCCCATTTATAGAATGTATAATCCCATAGAAATAACCAGTTACAACTGGTAGCCATGGCCATAACTGTAATGACCGTCATTGTGAAAAAATCCATGGGATTCGTTGGGGATCAATCCAAAAGAATGGGCACCAAAACCAGCAACTAATTATAGAAAAATGACGTGAATACAAAATGCGTAAATCCCTCCACAAATGTAGGAAAAAAAACGGAAATCCAACCAAATTGTAATGTTGAACAAGTCCGCAACAAACCATTCTGACACCGAAGTGTAGCCTATTCCAAAAACACCCTCCAGTAATCGGAAATCTAACCATCCAACAGATTGTTTCACAGATTTAAAAGATGTTTCATCTTAAAAATCCCCAAACTTACAGAAGTTGTTCACACGTTTTTCCCATCATTTTCCATGTTTTCCATGATTTTCCATGAGTTTGCCGAAAATAAAATATGATTGCTATGGTCTGTTGTCCATAAGTTTTCCATGATTTTACCATATTTTTTCTATATGTTCCATGATTTTTGTATAAGTTTTCCATATTTTCCATGAATTTTCCATGATTTGTCCATATTTTCCATGATCTTCCAGCCCGGAATTCCCCATCAACTGGGCCCTCCCAACGCCATCGCCCTTCTGCGGAATAACCGGCATCACCGTGCCGTCGCCATCGTTGGTCTCCAGCATGCGACCGAAGGCGCCAGCGCGAGGCTCCTGGGGAAGCCGAGGGTGATGGAAAAAAATGTCTCTTGGAAAGTTAGGTTTGACAAAATAACTACCCTCTGGTTATTTAACATAGCTATGGAAAGATCCACCCATTTTAATAGGACAACCATCTATAAATGAACCATTTTCCATGGCTATGTTAAATAACCAGAGGGCAACTTATTGATAGTTATATATTAGAATCAATAACATTATTAGATAAGATTACTGTATATACAGTAATAATTATCAAATAACTATCAAGTATGGATACTAATATTTATTTCATAGTTCTCAACTAACTTTTCACAGTTTTTCCTAGGATAAACTAACATAGATGGTGGAAAAGCCATGAGTTTCTCTGGTAAAATGATCTATAGATGGTGGGTTAATATCAACCCTGGATTAATAAATCCCTAGGCTGTTTCATTGGGAGGGTACCATTTAAGTATCAAATCATGACAGTTAGGGAGAATACCCCCCTAATTCATAAAGCATGGTTTATTAATCCGGGGTTGACATTACAACTATAGCTATAGTTGGAGAGTTCTTGACTGGCTATAATTATTATAATCCCATGTCCCGTTCATATTGTACACCCCCATTGTATGGTCCCAAATATGTGATTTTATCCCCAACATTCACCATGGTTTCCTGCGTGTGTTTAACATGAACGGGGGATGGGATTACTTAGAAAATACAGTCTTCAGTGCATAGAACTAAGAAATCCCATCCCTAAATCAGTTGCTATACGTTTCATTAAAACCTATAGCAGTAGTTTAAAGAGAAAAAAACTTCAAGTATCAATGCACCCATTACTAATTTTACTTAAGAAAAAACTCTTACTTCGACGACGTCTCCCTCAGCTAAAGCGGGCCGCGCTCACCGCCTTCCAGTCATTCACCACCAGGGCTGCGCTCACTTGCACCTGGTGAAATCTCGGAGGTTGCAAGTGTACAAAAAATCATATGTGATGTGTAGTCTAATATCTACATTAATGAATATATAATATTATATATATAATATAATTAATTAATATATATATATATATTATAATATATAGCTATAGGATGGTATAGTTATAGGAAAATTTATAGTTTTTACCAATAGCTTTTCACTGCACCTCTATGGCCACCTCGGCAGGCCGTTGAGGCCCCAGGCCAAGCGCTGCTCGCGCCAGATTTCCATCACCACGGCCTTCTCGGGAAAAACGCAGAAAGGGCCCTGCAACCAGCGCAGCGCAGATCCGCACGGAGGGTCCGTGATTCGGACCCTAAAAAGCTGGGAGAGTTTCAAGGGGATGTGACAATGGTGAAACAAATGATATGGTTACTATGATTTGTTATAGATGTTACGAGAAATTCATGAGATTTTCCGGGAATTGAAACATGTGTCCAACATTGTCCAGCTCTTGTTGATGAATTTTGCAGTTTCGGGAATTCTTTGGCACCTGGTGACCCGGATGTTAGGAGCAGATTGACCACCATTCAACCTTCCCAGTTGAAGGATGACATATCTGGGGTTGAGAACTCCATGAAGGACCCGGGGTCTGGCGGTGAATTTCACAGGTTTAACACACACGCAACACCCTGGTCTTGCTGAAACCGGTCGGGTAAGGAGTTCCCAATAGTTCCCAGCTGCTTGCAAGCTGGTTCGTAGTTGGTACTAGAAAACCATCGCCCATTCTCATTCATTTAAGGTTTTTTTATGGGAATCACAAAATCCGTTATCAATAAATCCAGCTGTTGATCATCATTTCATATCATTTCCCCATTCAAATGGCCATACCTTGGGGTAGACCCCATGGCTTTGACAAAAAAACACCAAAACACAAGGACCCAAGGACTCGACGCATCGGCATGGTGAAAGAACCCTTTTGAAAATCATGGAAAATTCAAGGGATACGTATATATATATATATTATGTGTATATATATATAATGTATGTATGTAATGTAATGCAATGTAATGCAATGCAATGCAATGCAATGCAATGTAATGTAATGTAATGTATGTACATACGTACGTACGTATGGATGGATGGATGGATGTATGGATGTATGGATGACATATATATATATATATATAGTGTGTATATATATATATAGTATATATATATACATAGTCTATATACTGTGCAAGTATGAATGTATACAGTATGCTTATGTATATTCGCAATTATATATGTACATTCACTGGGACCAAAGTTGACTCCCTCTTGTTTGATTGCTGAAACTTTGGAAAAGTGCACGTACATGATTGCTGGCGCATTCAGGCACCTTGCTCATGTCGATGTAGAAGAACTCGGTACCTTAGGGCAATTTTTTCGGTTGGCACAACACCATTCCTCAAAAAGGACAGGTTAGTGAAAAACCATCCCCATGGATCAATAAAAAATCTGACCAATAATTAGAGGCTATTGTTGGGCCAAAATTTATTATACACCCTAAAATTAAGATTCGTTCATGTGACTCTCTCCATGGAGTCAACAACACTATCAAAATGGTTTTCCCATTCAAGATTCACCTATTTACGGCATAGTCTGTGGGTGACTTTTCACGCGCAGTTTGGCAAAAACAAAAATGTATGTTGTCAAAATTGGATATATACCCTCTGGCAATCTGCAGGTCATGCAATTCACCCGAAACAAATGTGATAAAGGTATCTGAAAAAAAAACATCTAGAATGTTCCCAATAGATGTTATGGACCTGCGTGTTTTTGCGTTTTTGTTTAATCCCAGAATATTCCCAAATTATTATTAAATAGATTCATGTCACAATGGTGCTTACATTTATCTCCATGTGTTTAATGGTTTTCATACCTCCATACCCCCAAAGATCATGTGATTTCTCAATTATATCCCCATCACATCACCACTTCTTCCCATCCGCATTTTGTCCCAAAAACCTCACCATGACGTCCCATGAAGTCTTCCCAACATATACCATTATCATAATCATAGCATGGTATATTATACTAAGGACACGTTTGTATATATATATACACACACCCTCTGGCAATTTAACATAGCTATTGACAATGGCCATTTATAGTGGATTTACCCATGAAAATGGTGATTTTCCATAGTTATGTTAGTTTACCAGAGGGTATGTTGTTTAATTCCCATGCTCATTGTTTTCTATACCCATATCGAATATCTTATAGATATTATACCCATTTTTGTTCTATACCCAGATCCAGAAGTTGGGACGATTAATTTCCTCACGAGCTAATTTGCCCACAGTGAGAAGCCATGATGGATTGTGTATATTTGGTTTAGTTTTACCCCATTAACTATTTCTTATATACAGTTATGATCACCATCAACATCCATAAACCATACTTAACCTAGTTATAATTTGGCTATACCCCCATATCCTATAATATCTATAAAATCATGTACCAGGTGGTGCCCCCCAGATATAAGTTGGGTTGTAAACCATAGTAACTAGTTCGACATATCTACCACACACTCTAGTAAACTTGGAGTTATAAACCAAACAAAATAACGACCTGGGGCACTTGCAATTTATCCGGACAATCCCCATGATATTTGAAGATATCCCACTGGCTATTTGCTGGCTATTTCTATACCCAATTCTCATATAGATATCTAATCTAGTAGCATTATCTTCCTACAAAAAAAAAACAACTATAGTCACTACACGATCCGATTTTTTCCGGTAGTTATATATTAATATCTATAGTTGGTTTCTTTATATCAATCCCATAAACGATGTTTCCTCATTTATAGTGGTCTCAGATAGTTGAGTTGGTCTCTATAGATTTGGTTTCGAACCATATCTTCTTTACATAGTGTGGGTAAAACAAGTTCATACACCATCGAAAATATGTTGGTAAAGAAGACACCAGATATAGATAAAGATGGAATATGTTCATATTATGAATATATCATATATCCCAAGTGGACACACCCGAGAAACATGGGTTATTTACAGAAGCAATTTCACCATTTTTATAGGTTTGTATTTTTGGCATTAGTCATGGGTGGTTTATGACATTGTTTTACCCCCATTACGTTGGGATTTTGACCCCCATGACTCTCTGTTAATTTCACATGGCTATGGAAAATGCCACATTGATAAATCATTTATCCAATAGGTAAGAGGATTTGATCTTAATTAATCTATAGTAGGTTTCTATTTTCTGATTTACGTCTTAAGAAATGGATTAATTAGGAAACCTATAGATTAATTAAGATCCATTCCAAAGAAACCTATAGATTAATCTATAGACATAAATTTCCTAATAGACATATGACTATAGAAACTATGAATCTATAAGATGAATCTATAAGATTAATCAAAAAAATACCTCTATAATGTTTCTATAGACATTTCCCATCTCCTCAGGTCAAGTCACCAGCTTTGGTGAAGGTCCCCGCCACCTGCAGGTGGCCTCGCCAGCGTCGCCGGAGACCTCGTTGCCAATGGGACACTTAGGGAGAAAAACCATGGGAAAAGCAGAGGAAAACCATGGAAAAACCATGGGAAAACACGTTCTTTTTATTAGTTTCACGTTGTGTTCATTCAGAAACGGAGGTTTGAAGCATCAAAAAATGATGCTAATGCACGAGCTAAAATTACGGATTGGAGCCTCAAATATGAGCATTTCATCCAGGATTTATCCCGAATCAAACTGGACATTTTGAGAGGAACATTACAATATAAAGACAAGACTTTGGAGCTATACTCTTTTTAGACAAAGCCATATCCTTGATGTGACTTAAGATGTTGAAATTGATATTTCATTAAAATGAAAAAAAAAAATAATGGTGAATATTCCCATTTTGATGATGACTACCCACATATATAGAAAAATGTCTGGATTATGTTAAATAAAATACAACATCCTCATAAGCATGATCATTTCTAATACTGATTGGTGCCATGCCGAGTGTCATTCGTTGCCGACAAGATACAATTCTTTTGGAAGTATCTGAAAGTAGTTACCCTCTGGTAAACTAACATAACTATGGAAAATCACCATTTTCGATGGGTAAATCAACTATAAATGGCAATTTTCAATAGCTATGTTTGTTTACCAGAGGGTAGTTGATATGGGTTCAATGGGTTCAAACATTGGGGTGCCTATGGACCCACCGAATTGGCCATGTTTTTTGAATAATCCCAAGCCACTCAGTGCGCACCTGTGATGGGAGGTTTACGTATTCATTCTTTTGGCGGGAAGGGGCGACTGGGTATAATGGGATAAATCATACATGTGTATGTGGTTAGTGTGGATAGCAATACAATACACATTACAATTTGAACTAAAAACATTTTTCATTTAGTGCCAAAATAATCATATTGACTACCATTACTAACTACCATGGTTAATCATATGACATGGCCAACATGGATTGTATACTCATTTTGAGGGATGGTCATCAATCTATGTTCAAAGGAATTTATATACCAATATATACCATTATATACCAATGTTACTAGAGATCCCAGATATGGGATGGAAGACCAAAAATCATATACCAACTTTGACCCTAGCACATATTGTGGATGGACAAGATTCTGCACCAGTTGGTAGCTGGTTTATCCCATTACTATTCGATTCTTTGCAGGGTTTCATAGTTGCCAATAGTAACCAACTGGCGCAGGATTTTTGTTTGTCCACAATACAATAAAACTACGAGCTGAACGAAACATACTTTATTTGTTGTCATACCATACTCAGCATGTGAACTGCCAATACGAACTACGAGGATCATCCCACGATTCGTGGATAAAAAGCATTTTTTTCGTCGCTGATCCCATCAATAGATATCATATCCATATCCATATACCTACGGTTATCCCTATGAATATGGTAAAATTAATGCTTATACCTATATGGTATTATAGCATATCAATGGTTATATTATGATTTGATAACCATAATAACCATATCATATGGATATGGATATGGATATGGATATGGATTATACCATGTTATATAGGTATATTATATGGTATTATAGCATATCTATGGTTATCAAGCACCAGTGGCATTCCCTCCACCGTTACCCACTGGTTACCCGCAACGGTCCGTGCCGAACCGGTCGCCGGGAGCTCGCACGTGGAGCCACGGTGCCCGGGACTTTTCCTGGCATGGGATGTTTGGTATCTTGCCACTCGTGCTTGATAACCATAGATAACCATATAATATGGATAGTTTCCATCTATTATACCATAGGTATAACATGGTATAACCATGAATTATGCCATATGAATAGGGATAACCATATAATATGGATAGATTTGCCATGAGATAGTCTGGGCAAGAATATCTCGTTGTTACGTACTTGGAAGCCTCTAGTAATCCAACCTCGCCAAAATGGCGAAATCATAGGTGAATCTACAAATGGGTCCTCCATACTGTACCTTTCCAGACACCGCCATGTCACTTTCATGGTCCATTTTAGCGGGGAGAAACCGGTGGGTCAATTGTAAAGCCCAAGTTTGAACATACCCAAAGAGCTTCAAATACCTTGGAGGAACCCCTGAGGGGACACCTGAGAGATTGGACAATCAATGAATCTTGAATGAACCTGAAACCTTCATTCTATTTTGAATTCATATTCCAGACTCATACAGTTTGATCAGATCAACTCAGTTTCAAGTTTCATAAAATCACTAGTATTATGTTTGATTTCTGTGGATGTTTATAGAGTAAACCTTCACGGCAGGCTGGACGTCGAACAGTGGCTGCAGGGACCAAAACAAATCTTCCAAAGCGGGTCCCATTTTCCGACAACAAACATGTAGTGCCTTGGAAAATTAAATGGCTTGGCTTGACTTGGAATATTTGAAACATCTAGTTATCTTGAGTTCAAAACATCGAATTCAGGTATCACCTAAATCTTCGCTTTGCGATGCAATATATCCTGGCAGATTGGTCGTGACAATACCCTTCTTGTAAGATAGTGACAGCGATCGTGATCCATTTGTATATCAGTATTATCTGGTTGGTGGTTGACCTACCCCTCTGAAAAATATTAGTGATGACATTCCCAATATATGGAAAAATGAAATTCATGTTCCAAACCACCAATCAGTGATATATAATATATAAAACTTGGACTGAACCTATCATGGTGCTTAAATGGGTCCGTCCGAAGGAACCCCCGGGCCCTAAATCTCATCTTTTGCAGTCCTCTCCACAAAAAAAAATCATGATTTCCCCATCACATTGCTGGTGATATATCCCATTGCAACCGATTCTATACTCATGTTTGACTGTGAAAATCCACACTCTGTATATATATATATATATATACTGTGTATATATATATATATACTGTATATATATATATATAGAGATATAGATATAGATATAGCAACCCCCCAAAGAGATAGAACCGTGTTTCCAGGCTTTTTCCATATCGGTGATAGTTTCCCCTTATTTTTTCTAGGTTTCCATATTTTTCGTCATTTTTCCATATAGGTGGGTTTGGTCTCACCATAGTAACTGAGGGGAAGCTTGGGCCCACCATCCCTTAGGCACCTGCTTCTGGCGCCTCGAAACAAAAAGGCGCCAGGGATGGTAAGGCTTGGAGGCTCACCACGCGAAGAGTTAGAAAACTGATTTTTGTGTTTCTGGGCTGAGTTTTAGTTCACCCATGTGGGTGTGTCTGGAAATGGGGTATACCCCAAATTATCGCCATTTCATAGGGACACCCACAAATGTAGCGACGAATACATCCCTCAATTGAATCCAAATGGCTATAAATGGTTACTATAGTAGCCAATTTGCTTGGGACAATTGATGCAATGATGAGTCACCTTTGGGTTTAAGGGTACACTATTTGAAAAGCCAAACACCTCTGGTTTTCCATCGGAGAACATACGAATCCAGGACCAGATCCGACCAGTCGGATGATCCTCTAAGTGGAGATATTCGTGGGTATAGTAATGGGATATGATCAATGGATAGGATTTGGGATATTCATGTGTAGCTGGGAAATAAAACGTAGTTGTTACATGTTATTACTATGTGTTATCGGTGTTATGGCCTACTTACTACCCTCCGACAATCTAACGGTTTACTGTGGAAAAAGGACAATGTGTAGATGTTTTACCTATGTTTACCTATTATTTAATCCTATATGAATCCTATTGCAAATGATGAATCCCCAAATTCCCATAGCTATCCAAAATTACCAAAGGGTCGACTTCCGACCTTCAACAAAACTGAGAGTTACGTCTGAAAACGTGATATTCACCTCACTGAGGGGAATTGTTGGAATGTGATGAGAAAAAACACCTGGATTTTGGGGTATACAGATGGTATACACCATTTCTGGACACACCCATTTGACGAATTGTCCTGTTTTCTGGAGGATTTGGCATGGCAGTTGGGGGACCTACCATCCAATGCGGTAAACCCAATGCCATAAACCATCCCCAAAACCACCATAAATGGGTATAAACCATCCCCAGATCGTAGGGTTTCCCCGGTTATGGTACATTATGTCTGTTGCAATCTTTGTTTGTTCAAAGGTGAAGCAAAAAGAAACAAATCTAGATGTTTGCTGTGAGGATTCCAAATCAGAGGGTACCTTCTTTTTTGTCCATTAACCGGCTATTTTAAGGTACCAGGAGGATATCTGTCTGGGTCGCCACTGAACTGGTGACCAACGGTGACCGAGTCACCTCGTGGAAATTTGCACATCGCTGAAGGGGCACCGTTGCGATATATCGTTACACCAACAGAAGAAACATATCGATACAGAGAAGAAATGGTGGCCCAATGAGTCACAAAAATGACTGAAATTGGTGTGTCTGAGAATAGGGCCCCAAAAAATCGCAAAGCTGACCATAATTTTCGCCATAAATGGAGGTAATCCCAAATTGATTATCCATTCATGGAAGTCAACTGCCTTACCCAACCACCACATGGCGTCGATCGAAACCATTAGGGAGTTTGTCAGTTGGACAGTCGCAGTTTGGGATCATTTGTCCAACCAGATATTGAATACTACTGGCTGATATAAGTGCGCGATCAAAACGAGGAACAACCATGCCAACATGATTATGCACAATATATTTCACTATTACTATTGTTTACGAGTTTACGATTACATGAGTAATCCACATTTCAAATCATTCAAAAAACAATGGGACAAAACCGCCCGTCAGTTCTCCATCCACCTGGTCCTGTTCATCGATCCTTAGTTTGGCTGAAACCGTGTTTTCACTCGCATCAGTGTACAGGGTCTCCATGCACCAGTTGAAGAGTTAGGGCCCGGCAACAGCATTCAAATGCTGTGACTTTTTATTTACCCAACAAATCCAAATATGCATTAAATACTGCATCCTTGGGGTTCCAACAATTCGAGACAACGTGCAAAAAAACAGTTATGGATTTTGGTTTGGCGTTTTTCTTGTCTCGGGGTATCCCGTCCCACCTGAAGCACGTTTGCCAAGAAACCCCAAGATCTTCAACATCACCATGACCCAATCCTGTTTTTCATGAGAACATGTGTTTGCCAATATGGGGGTTTCCTGAAATTGGGATACCCCTAAATCATCCACTTTAAAAAAATGTTTCTTTATTATAAACCTTCCATTTTGGGGTACCCCCACTTTAGCAAACCACCATATACGCGTGGGTCGAAAAGTGAGGCTCCACGGGACCCACACATGTCTGGTCATTTCCACTTGAAATGCATACGATTGTTGACACATACCATTCCACGATTGCACTGATCCACACCTGTGTTGTTTGATGGCAACTGAACAATGAGAACAATGGATAAAATGACAAATCTACAAGTCAATACAAATCACCAAACTAAAAGGGTGGCACTGCCAATGCCTACAATCAAAAATGCCTATGTGGAGGAAGAAGAGGATGATGCTGCTGCTGATGATGATGACGATGATGACGATGCAATGATGCAATGACGCAGAGATGCGCACATGCATGATGACAGGATTCCGGGATTCCTGTGGGTATGCCGTTAAACCGTCAAAACATGTCAAAACCATCACTTGGAATCTGCAAAGTTCAAGGCGCTTTATCAGGTTCACTGATGTTCACTGTGCATGTTGCGCATGTGCACTGCATATAACTCCGAATTTTCTGTATGGGGTTGGGAGACAGCATGTCGGGATCCATTTTCATCTCGAACTCCCAACAAATCGCAAAATCAAGAACTTCATGGATCCATGTGGTCTGCCTTCATGTCCCCCGCAGCACTGCACCACTACTGTATCTTTAGGTTCTGGGTAAATGATTGACTCGGCCTTTGGATTTAATAAGATTTAATAAGTGTCCGAATTGTTCTTTGAAGCTTCGATTTTCTCTCGGGGCGCCAGGCAAACACAAACATTCGTTCTGTGGTACACGCGGTCAAGATTCAAAAACACATGCACGTAATGAAAAAATGAAGCAAGTGTTTTTGCATGTGGTCGGCAATTTAAATCACACACGGCCGTGTTAACTTGTGCCGACAGCTTCTCAACATATACCCGACGCGCGCATCCAAGCACAACAGCCGTGAAACCGCGCGCCTGCACGTCGTCAGATTTCTGCATGTCCTCGAGCCCTCAGTCGTGCAGAGGAGTTGCATGGTAGTTCCCTGAAGCTTCCCCCGTTGTTGAGCGCCACTTTGCCCAAGCCCGCCCGCAATTCCAACAACCAGTCAGCAAAATCCATCTCGGCCGCTGGCTGGCTCATTCACTGTGCTAAGCTGCAAGCTGGCAGGGTTCAGGGGCCAGTTGTCAATCGCTTCCTGGGTTCGTTTCTCCTTACGAGCGGCCCATGTCCACAAAACGGGCTGTGCCAGCAGCGGCTCAGCCCTTTGCTTCCTATCTTCTATTTGGGTTAGCTCAAACGAGTTTGCTTCAAGGAAAATCACGATAAACCACCCGCTTTGGCCGCGCTCTATTCCCAAACGCCGAAGGGAACCCACGCCTGAAGCCTACGTACATCCACCCGCAATTCTGGTTTTCGTAGGCCATCTTCCAGCCTTGATGCAACCTATGGTGTCCTACATGAATATGTAAATGGAATTAATGCTGTTCAATGCAAAGATGTATGTCTAACTGCCTAAGTTGTCCATCTTTCAGCTTGGAGCCTCTTCAGTGTGTTCATCTGGAGCTTTCCCAAAATGGATGGTACCCCAAATCATCCAAGATTAAACAAATTTAGTATTATTGCATTTTGATGACAGCCAGATACAGCCACCGGGTCAACTGATCCATGCCGGTCCTGTATAGCTAAAAATTGGGCACCATGGCACCAGCGGATTGGAGATCGTTCGCAAAGATAACTGCTTGGTGGTTGACCTACCTCTGAAAAATATGAAAGTCAGTTGGGATGATGATTCCCAATAGATGGAACAATTTCAATAATCCAAATGTTCCAAACCACCAGCCAGATAAGCGAATGTCAAGGGATGGATCAACAGGAAATACAGGGTCCTTGATTCTGATGTATAGTTAGCAAGGCACACGGCCCACCCCTTGCCGTCTCCGCAGATTGGGTTGGCGGTCTCTCTACGAAATCCGGTTGGTGGTTTCAACCCCTGCGATGCCAAGGAGTTACTAACCACCATCAAACCTGCGCAGCAAAAGGGCTTATTGAACCTTTATTTTTTGGGGGTGGGTGGTACCTTTTGGGGGGCAACCCTCGAACTTCCGGGGATTCCAAGAAACCTAAACCACCAGTTGTGAAGAGACCCATTTCAACAGGGCCACCCGTTGGTCTGTGATGGCCGGGATCAAGTTGTCTTGTTTTCATCCAACTCAAGGCTTTTCTCCACCATAAATCCAAGAGATATTGCAGTTACAGAAAACTATCCAAAATCCAATATCAATCTACATGTTTCGTGGTTACGTTAGATCCCATAGTTGAAACCACAGGACCTGGGACACACATACCCGGCATACCCTAAGGGGGGGAATTTGAACTGGGCATTTACCTCCCAACTTAGAAACGAATGGGACAATGACAGGAAAACACCCCGAAGGAAACCTGGTGGAAAGCGCTTGGTCTCATGATGAATTCGGATCCGTTTTTACTTGTTGACTTCTTTTTTTAATGGGGGTGGGATTGCATAACTTGAGGCCATCTATGAGCAAAGAAAAGCAAACTAAAACTACTTGGATGTGCACCGCAGTTGGCATGTGGTGCCCATGGTTAAAACCCATTGAAAATATGGAACCATCATGGGATAGTATATGGACATCCAACCAGTTTCACCATTGTATACCATGACAGTCGTGTCCAGCGATCGGATGGACCAGCAGGATAACTCATATGGAGGTTTCCATAAATGGGGGTAACCCCCAATAGCTGGATGGTTTATAGTGGAAATCCCAATCTAAAATGGATGATAACTAGGGGTACCCCCATGACTTTGGAAACCTCCATATGCTCGCCATGTCCTGTTGCTCCCAAAAGTCCGGAAAGCGACGCTCCTACGGCGATTTAAGGGATGTTTGACAGGCAACCAGGGTCCTCATTAACAAAAGGCTGAGTGAATGCGGGTGACATATATTTTGACATGTATCTTGCCATATCTTATACATTCTGACATATAGCATCTGGTTATTTAGCATAGCCATGGAAAATCACCATGCTATTAATAGGTAAACCATCTATAAATGGGCCATCTATACCATGGCAAACTGTTAGTCATAACCATAGGGTATTCTGACAATTCTTCGGATTATTTTTCTAACAATTCTGATATTCTGGTCGTTTCACTGAGATGTGTATTCTGACAGTTTTTTTTCTGACAACTATTCTGACACTTCTTCTAACATCTACATGGACATTTATCCAAACATATGTTCTGACATATCGTCCAACATATTTTCGGACAATTAGTCTGACATGAATCTTGACTGTTTCTCTAACATATATTACATCATAGGATGAATCAGCTTTCAGGATGCCGTCCGGGATTTGAGGGTTCTGTCAATCTTGAATTCTACTCGACCGCAAGGGTCGGCTGGACGTCTTGGACGTCTTGGATGTCTTGGATGTCTTGGGCACCTTGAAATGGGATCACTACTCAAAATGGACCAAACATTGCGGTCTTGTGGGTCTTGTGACATTTTGACCCATAGCCCATAGCCAGGGTCCAAGAATGCTGGAGAAAAATCCCAATGATCAGCTTGTAGATCCCATCGTAGAAAAACATCCCCAAAACATCCCCATGTTTGGTGGTTAAAATTGGTGAGTCTCCATGCTGATTGCTCGAAAAATCACCTTCTTTTTTGGACCATATATAGTTAGTTATACCCTCTGGTGATTCCCAGAAGTGCCGGTCGCCGGTCCCGCTTTCCGTAGCCAAAGGTTTCGGACCTGCGTGGTGGGTTTTTTTATGTTTTTTTTTGGGTTTTGTTCGTCCCAAGAGAGGACATCAACATGGAAACTTAACACAAACAATGGTGATTGAAGTGACAAGACACCCTCTGGTAATTTAATATAGCTATATAGAAAATCACATTTTTTTATAGGTAAACCACCTATAATTGTGGTTGAAACAATGTCATGTTTACCACCCATGACTGGGAATGGTAAACATACCACCTATAAAAAATGGTGGTGACTGGGGGATGGTAAACATGACATTTGTTTAACCACATTACAAACAATGGTGTATTTTTCAGTGACAAGTTAGGATCTATACTTCAGACAAACGACATAAGGATACTTATGAGTTTCTCCCTTAACAAAAACACTTGACTTGGTCATGGTCAGAACATATAAGCAGATACCAGGGTCTCCCAAATCCTCATGTGGAAGAAAACAAGACATGCACAAATTCAATGGGAGATCTTCAGGATCCTAAAACGGAGCTACGTAAACGTACCATATTTCAGGCCATATTTTCTGGGGATATTCCCTGGTACCCCAAATTCCAATGGATTAATCTCTGGTTATGTCAACAGTTTGCTATTGAAAATGACCGTAGAAATAGTGGATTTCCCAAAATGGTGATTTTCTATAGTTTTTTGTATGTTTACCAGAGGGTACCATCAATCTTCAGACAAAGCAATATGCATTTTGGGGGGACTATGACTATGGTATACCGCATTTTCAGACAAAACTGACAAAACCCACATGGTGATGGGTCAAAATGACCCCTACCAAAAATTGCTATGGATCTTTATTCCCCCAGTCATGGTAATTTGGCCCGACATCCATACCTGGTAAACGTTGACATAACGAACTGGAAAACCACCATGTTCAATGGGTAAATCAACTTTAAATGGCAATTTCCAAGAGCTTTTATGGGTACATCAACAATTTCTATGGCCATTTTCCAGTTCGCAAACTGTTAGTTTACCACAGGATACCACAAAGGGCCGCCCTGCATGCCCTGCCATGCCCCGGGGAGTCACACCACATGGATCGGTTGAAGTTCTGCAACTTCAAGTACGACTTGACCTCGCGAGGTCTGCGACGTTTTTTTTTTCATACGGGGTAACGCCCTGGTGCCGGATATCCACGCTGCATCAAAGGTATTAATGTGTCTATGTATTATATATATAATGTGTATGTGTATATACCTATATATATACATAATATGCGTGTGTGTGTGTGTGTGCATGTGTGTGCGTGTGCGTGTTGTATTGTATGGGTTGTATTGTACGGGTGTGTCTTTAAAAAAATATGGACTACACCAAAATGTTGATAATTTATCCTTTAATCAGTTAATCATCATATGGTCAATCCTGGTGGTCCAGTTGTTTCGGGACGTCGGACGTCCCGATCGTTGCACCCCATCACAAGAATGTTAGGGATACTATCGCAGGACACTTACTAAGTATAATCCATATCAGAAACTGTTAGGGATAATATCACAGGAATGTTAGTATTATCCCAATGTTTGCTTCAAACATACATCCAAAAACCATATGAAACCAAAATATGGTTGAAAACCCCTTAAGACTTGAAACCACCCAGAATACCTTCAATCTCTGAGATTTGCCTTTTTTTTTGGAGAAAATCGCCTTCCAGCCCAAAAAATGCAGAGCTGTCCTGCTATTTGCGGCAATGGTAAACCACTAGCCACAAGCTGAGGCCGCCCAGTTTAACTATGTAGATAATTACTTCATTGCCAAAAAGCCTTGTTGTTGGAGGGCTGTTTACCAACTTGGCTTCAGAAATCAAGTGTAAATATCTATAAATGTCTATAAATATCTATAGATATCTATAAAATTCTATAAATATCTATAAGTGTCTATAAATATCTATAGATATCTTTAAAATTCTATAAAAATTCTACAAAATTCTATAAAATTCTATAAAAATCTATAAATATCTATAAATATCTAAAAATATCTCTAAAATTCTATAAAATTCTATAAAATTATGTAAATTTCTAAAATAAAATTCTATAAATATCTATAAATATCTAAAACAAATCTATAGAATTCTATAAAAATTCTATAAAATTCTATAAATATCTATAAATATCTATAAATATTTATAAATATCTATAAAATTCTATAAATATCTAAAAAAATCTATAAATTCTATAAAATTCTATAAATATCTACAACTCAATAAATCCTCATTCTGCTCGGTTGGATCATGTTTGCCATCACCATTTCTATTGGGTTTGTCCAATTCCCTTCCTGATTCGGGAACTTCGAAGGCCGCCCCCACCACGGGATTCCCCAACACCACGTTGCACTCGCTGCAACTGCTCCTGGCAGCTTGGATTTCGAAGTTTCGAAGTTTGGGCCCGAGAAATCCCAATGTTTCACATAGTTTAATCTAAATTTCACCATATTTCACCCAAATATGTGATAATATGTCTAAGTTTAATCTAAATTTGACATATGGCTTCTAAGTTGAAATACATGTTTTTTTTTCCATGGATGAGTACTGAATGGAAGCGGCATTGAGTCTTGCCCATCCGGACTCGAACTTACGCTTCTCCCACCCCAAACCCAATGCCTTTCGCAATCCAAACACTACGATTGATTACATTAGCTGTTAGCAGAATTTAACATGGCCAATCTTACCCCCCCAAAATATGTTATAAACATTTATAAACAATAACTTAGTGGTTGGTTGGTACATACCCCATTTCAAGAAAAATATCAGTACTCAAGTACCCACAATTGACCCAGGTAAATTCACCCTGTTTCTCCAGGGAGAATTTCCCCTTTTTTGATCCCCATGGTTTTCTGCGGCAGATCAGTGAAAAATCGCCTATCCCGATGATCTCCACATTGAACAACTACAATGTTTGTTGGTTACCATCTGGTTATGACTAACAGCAATAGCCATGGAAAATCACAATTTTGAATAGGTAAATCAACTATTTCTGTGGGCCAACCATGGCAAACTGTTAGTCATAACCGGTTAAATCACCATGATATCTGCGAAACGTATCCTGCCGAGCGCCGAGCTCGGCGCCCTGAGCCCCGGGCTGCTCATGTTGCTCCGCTGAGATCCCATGAAATCCCAGACTCAACTCACATCGTCCGATATGAAATTTACCAACCACAAATGATTTTTTTACCAACGAAAATGCAGAACACCAAGTGGCTGGTCATCATTGATGGATTGTGTCATTGGATCTTTTTCAGAATCCATCTTCAACTGATTACTGGCTGTCATTGATCTGCGGATACCTGCGGATACCTGTAAATAGAGTAAATCGTCATCCCATTTTGGTCGGAGACCTGCCCACCAGGAACTAACGCCCATCCCAACTGGCCGTAGGACTCCTTGTACTTGGCCTCGTCAATGCGTTGTTGCACCAGGTCTTGAGACTCTTCCCTCCTCAGAAAGGTGTCGGCTGGTCCCTGTCGGCTACTGGGTCTAACAAAAGATATACTTGATTTTGTCTGAAAATAGGGTGTATTCCAAAATTGCTATGTTATTGGAAAAATGATCACCAAACCCCAAATAAGAAAAATCCGTGCCCTATTTTCAATCAAACCCACATTGATCCACCTACACAGATGTTTGATGGACACTATTATAACTGACCTGCTGTTCTTGGTAGTGATATGCACCATGTTTTAGATCTATGGTAGAAAATATGTGTCATCCGCTTCGGATCATTGACATAGGTATGATAGGTGTGGCTTGGTTCCGGAGTGGGAGAGACCTGGATGACCTGGATGTGTTCTCCAATGTTTCCGTAAAAATGGTTCCATCCTCGGAAATTCCCCAAAGAAGGTCATTGGATCATGACAATTCCCATTGGATACCTTGCTTTTTTTTTGGGGAACCCTTATCTACTTCTGGATTTCATATATCTACATATATATATTATATTATATTATATTATATTATACTATACTATATTATATTATATTATATTATATTATATATGTGCATATAATATATATCATAATATATGCATACATTTAAACTAGTTCTGGTATGCATCTGCTTGACATACCAAACCCAGTCCGATCATCCCAGTAGTGGGTGCTCAACAAACGGGTGGGCTGTTGTTAAGGTCAAAATTTCACGCCCATTTGGAACCACAAAAAATGGAAAATTACTCTCTGGTTATGACTAACAGTTTGCCATGGTATAGATGGCCCATAGAAATAGATGATTTACCTGGGTTTACCTATTAATAGCATGGTGATTTTCCATGGCTATGTTAGTCATAACCAGATGGTAATTGGACTGAGGGCTCTGATTATATATCAAACAGAGAAAATACGTGTAATATCATGCTGTGGTGTCTTTTGCCAAGGCGCGCCGTAAAACGGTAAAACTGTAGCATAGTTTCAATCTCAATTGTTTGTACAGTACCGGTTGGTTGACGTCATGTTGAGGCCGTTACAATGCTGCCAGATTCATTGGTAGGTATTTCCATTCTGGTTGGCATGGAATCACCAGTTTGTGGTTTGTTGTCCAACAATTTTCCTTGGTGAAATTCATTCCTTTTTCTAGGCAAAACGCATGCAATGTTCAAGCCAAATGCTTCCTGTGTCTCAGTTGAATCTGCCTGTGAAATCTCATTTCACAACCACCACCATGTTCGAGCCGTTTTCTGCTGTTTTACCCAAGAACTCCGTTCAAACCAAGTTGCGGCTGCATCATCTGCCGCAAAGCTAGTGACGCCGAAGCAGCCACCTCCATTCGCCATGCCATTGCGTGAATGCAGTGGGTGTCCGCGCAAAAAAAAAAACATAATGTATATATATATATATATACATATCACAGACATATAGTCTACATATAATCCTTGACATTATTCACGTAGATTCACACCATATACATTGGAATAGTGAAAATATTATATCATAAATTATATCTCAATTTGTTACTATATTATATTAAATATATATATATATATAATATTGATGCATCATATATTCCTTGAAATTACAGTATGATATCTACAGTATATGGGCCACCAAGTCATCAAAATTTGAAGAGTGTACTATCGTTTTTCAGGTTTCGGGAAACCGTGTTCGAATTCCCAATATATATTCCATTGAATTTTGATGGTTTTCCAGCGCAGGATAAGATAATTCCTGACACTTTCAAATGCAGCACAATCAAGCGAAATTCTCGGACATTCATTTTCTTAGCCGCTGGAGTTCAACACACATCACAGCCACCACAACTGACGAAAGCTTTATTTTCACATCTTCCGCTTTAAAGGTTTTGAGGGAAGTCTCGCACGAAAGTTTTTTCATTTTCACATCTTCCACCTTCAGTTCCAACAACTCATTCAGGAAACTGAGCCGACTGAGCCCTGCCATGTTTTGCGCTTGCTGCCTGCTCATTTTAGACGAGCAACGTGCGCCAAGAAAAACAAATTTTCAGCGAGCAATGGGCCAGCGTCTGGCCGATAGAACATTATGTCATTTTTGGGTTATCGTTTCGTTATCGTTCGGGTTATCGTTTTTGGGACACCTGGTTGGATCAAAAAGATCTGCGAAACAATGATTCTGGAAAACCCTGTTTGAAAAATGCTGCCTTGAACAAAGCTTGAGGCCGCCGTGGAAAACGAAAAGCACAAACCAAAAGGAATAGAGAAAAAGAGCGGAATCTAGAGCGCCCCCACTATTCCTGCTGCAAGACAAAACCTTGTTCTTTCCTTTCGCCAGCATGGCGCGTTGTCACTAGCAAGAGTTGAGGCAAAAGACTGATACATGGCCGCACAGTACTTGAGTTTTACTCAGCATGCAGCGCAAACAGCAGCATAAACAGACCATCACCACACAACAATGCACGTCACCAGGTACCACCTGTTCAAAAGAGGATTTTGCCATTTGCCTATCTCTCAAACAGATGGTGAATGCTATTGAATGCCTACATAAAGCGTCGAACAACCTGCACCGTAAGACAAAGTATGACTGATAACCAAGATCAAACATAAGCAAATGTTGTCGATTTTTGGGAAAGTGTATTATCGTTTTCCATGCCCCAGCTCAGTTTCCACAAAAATCAGATGCCTCGAATACTACTCTCCATTACCGTATGTTTTTTTGGCGGTAGCTCATATCATGGAATAGTGCAGGGGGCTATGGGGCGGTTCTGAGCTTTCATTTAAGGTCCTGATAAGGTTGGGTAATGATAAGCCTTTATTAAGGCCTTGTTAAGGTCTTATTAAGCCTTATGAAGGACTTATGAAGGCTGATTACGGGCTTATCCTATAAGGTCTTATTAAGGTATTATTCCCCATGGGTAGCTGAACTTCCTTTGTCCAGTGCTTATCCAAATGGATGAATCATGTAAGCCACAACCCACGAAGGGCATTGGGAAGTTTACTCTCATGATTTTTCATGTGTGTTCATCATTTTTCCTCCATTTTGGCAATTTTGGGGATCTGGGGTGCTGAAGGGTCATTTTTTTGGGGGGTGGCTATGCAGAATAGCTTTCAGAATCTCGCTTATCCAAGGCTTATCCACCGCTTATCCTTAACCCCTGGATAAGCCCTTATCAAGCCCTTAACCAGCCCTCAACTCCCTAACCCCCACAGCAAAATCCAGGTCAAGTCACTATTGGACCTCCCAAACTTGCCGCATGAACATCCAGAAAGTCAGTTTTCTTTCGAAAAATGATCATCTTTGCTTATCCATAGCTTATCCAGAGCCCCCCCCCATACTATGGCCCCCTCCATTACCCCATGAGTAATATATCTTCATATCCTGTATATACGACATATATCTACTAATGTGGGGTAAAACAATGTGATAAACCACGCATTTGAGAATGGTAACCATACCACCTATAAAAATGGTGATGACTGGGGGATGGTTTATGGCATTGTTTTACCCACATTATCTGGTTGGTGGTTGACCTACCCCTCTGAAAAATGATGGAGTGAAAGTCAGTTGGGGTGATTATTCCCAATATTTGGAAAGTCATAATCCATTCCATGGTTCCAGTCACCACCAACCAGATACAGTAGATTCCAGTATGTCATATTCCAACCAGTCAAGTTTGGGGTGACGGCGGTGGCCTCGGCCTCCTCAGGGTCTTCCTGGCGAAATCCGAGTGGGGTATTTTTGTTCGAAACCGGGGGCCATGTTCATGTCATTGAAAAAAAGAGGTGTAATTGGCTAAGAATCCGTGGATAATCCTATGAAATTCTATGAATAGGACTTGGATGTAACTTGGAGATAACTTATGGCTTTTCCCATAGGATTTCATGGGATTTCATGGTGATTCATCTGGATTTCACCCACATTCGAATGATCCGTTCATGGGGATATGAATCCAGGAATTACCCTCTGGATCTCTATGGTATTTCAACAGTTTGCGAACTTATATCGATGAATATCGATGATCCATTTAGATCAATGGTGTGCCTACTATTTATGGTGATGTTTCATGGCAAATATCACAATTTTGGGTGAAATCTAAAGCACATATGAGGGTAAATGTTGATTTATATTGGATATAGATGCGAAGTTGATCGAAGTTGATGGCCATGGATATCATATAGACTCATATAGATAGGTAACGTTTTTTTTGTTGATAGTGAACTTCTGAGATTCGCGCCGCCTTAATATCGCAAAATGTCCATTTATGATGATCTTTTTTTGCGCCAATGAGTCATCAGAATGGGGGTTTGAGATCATCTCTACAGTTATGGCCATTTACCAGTTATAACTGGTGATTTCTATGGGATTATACATTCTATAAATGGGGTTTTGTTCGTACTTATAACTGATAAATGGCCAAAACTGTACTGATGACCAAACTTTCTAATTTGGGGATCAGTTTTGAGGCATAAAGTCTATGAACATCTGCTGTTCAACAGTTCAACCACCAAAAAAATCTATGAAAATGATTTTTCAGATCTGCTTTTCAAAGCCCAAAAAAGAGTTGGGGTTGTGATAAATATTCGATCAATACTTGGCTTTTGATGGTATTTTGGTCCTTCCAAAAACTGTTAGTTGGGCTAATGGTGGCTGATCATCCATCAAGGTGTCTTGGTGAACATCCAATTGGGGGTTCCTAAATTGGGGATACCCCAATTTCTCATGGCTTCAATTTGCTTCAATGCTAACATCTCGGCTAAAAGTTGGATGATTTGGGATTTTTGTTGGCCCAATTTTCGGAAACTTCCAATTCTTGGTGAAACCGGTGAAATCTCCATGTTTCTTGCCTCACGTCCCACTTTCCTCCCGTAAAAATTGCCCACTTGACAGTGGAAACGGTAGAATGACATGGCTCCGCTCGACTCCTCCGTCGCTTCATGTTGGAAGGCAACTGGCGCCTGCAGAGAAGCCATGATTTCAACATGGGAAACGATGACCCCCAGAGGATAGGCGAGCAAAAACAGGGGAGGTTAACATGAATTAATATAGGGATTTGACAACCAGAAATTTGAGAATGTTCAATTTAGAAACCAAGACTTTGATTTGACATGATTTTAACCGAACATATAGGATATTGAGCAATCCCCTCCTCCGATCGCATTAAATACCCACAATTGTCATCAATTTTTGGGGTCAACAAATAAATCCATATAAATCCCATAACTACACTAAACTAGGGTTTCTATCAAGGGACTAATGATTCAACATGGGGATTGAAGCAGGATACTTTCCCCAGCAATATTATCAAATGATTTGGCCTTTGGAATCGAATGTCAATAAAGTGGTTGTTGTTGGTAACCAACAGCCCTATCCACAAACCTTCAAGGACCGTCCTGTCACCTTATGGCGGCTTGCCTGAATCCCCATGATACGTAATTTGCCACTTTGCCAAAGTAAACCATAAACAAAAAATGTCTAGTCTAACTAAGTGCTTATAGGTTTCACATAAAATATTGAAATTGATAAACCTCAGATCTCCCAAATTTCATGGTTTAAAATCAGTGTCCCATCATTTTCTCATCATGTTCCCATGATGTTTCCATATTTTCCCATTGATAGACCTCGCTTGCGCGTAACGGTCCCCCGAGTGGCCGAGTGGCCCCCATGAGATCGTCGCCGCTCATCATGGACTGGACGTCATCATCCGCCTGCAGGGCATGAGGAATAGATGAAGATAGATGAAGAATGAGTGGTTACTGTAATAGGTGGTTGATACAATGCGGGGCCCCCTAGATAGCTAAGTTGGTTTATCACTCCAATAACTATGGTTTATTGTACTTATAACTATAGTTAATGGAGTTTATAAACCAACTTATAACTGGGGGCCCCACATTGTAGGTGCTTAATAGGTGGTTAATGATGGTTTATAGTGGTTGATAGTGGATATTATATGATGATACTAGTCATTGTTAATTGCCAATGATGGTTGATAGTGGTTAAAACTTGTACTTAATAATGATTATGTTCATGGTGATGAGTGATGATTCATTGTGATAAATGTAGAGTTACTGATGGTTGATGATGGTTAAGATGTTTCTACAAATGGTAAATGATGGTTGAACATTGTTCATAGTTCATATTAATTGTATTAATTAGTAATGTTCCCGTTGGTTTACAACTCTTTAGGTCTATATCCAATTTCAAAACACACCCATACCGTGGATGGCTGCAAAATTCTGCACCAGTTGGGATTTCTATTGGTAACATAAACTTCAACACTGTAAATAATGATGCGGTTATAACGGCATGCTCACCACAAAGGTACCAACTGGTGCAGAATTTCTGAACCATCCACAGTATGAGCCAAGAAAGCGTGTTTCTGTGTGAATGGAAAGGTTTATATTGGATGTCCTATGTGTATATATATATAGGATTATAACACGATATGATATGTCTATATATAATGGTAACTATAATGATATGATATTGTATGATATGACATGATATGATAAACATGATATAAATTGATATGATACGATACGATACGAGATGATATGGTATCAATGATATCATACACGTATCCATGAGTGCATGTCTGTATGATTCTGTATGTATGTTCTTGCTATATAAATCTATATAATAGAATCAAACCAATTACCAGTCACCAGGAGTTCTGCCATTCCATGCTGTGAAACTTGCATGGGTCATGACGGTCATGGCTCAGTTCTGCTATAAAAATAGGGTAGCTTAGGGTCACCAACTGAGGGCCCGAATCAATCCTCAGACAAACGAAACCTGACGTGTGACAGGAAACACAGCCTGCTTTTTCTCCGATGTTCTACGCCCGTCTCAGCAAACAGAGGGCCCCACCTGCCGAAAAAGAATAACATCGTGCAATTGTGCAGCAAACGCAAAGAGGAGCTTCACCGTTCAGTGAGTATTTCATTCCGAAGGGCATGGACATGCATGGACGATCTGAAGATATCTGAAGTGTATCGATAGATGCAGGCTTTCGAAAAAGAATGTAGTGATATCAAGGCTGAAAATCATCCGGTGCGTAACAGGAAGTGTATGGATTCATGAGGCCTCTTGAGAATTAAGACTTGGTCGAAGGAAATCCCCCTTTCACCAATCTCCTCAGTTCGTGCGCACTTCGAGGCTACAGGTGTCGCACCTAGGTGTGACTCACATGTCATGCACTTGGTCAACGGAGGTGTCGCCACGGGTTCACTCCTTTGGGCGCCTCAAAACCATGCACGTCACAAGCCAAGGAAAAGGCACTGCCAGCATCACGAGGCTTTCAAGAGCTTAAACCATCTTTCCTGGGAAATTCATATGTGAAACCCATCTTCTGGGGGGTTATGATGTTACATCTTCGTTTTCAGGGTGATACAATCCATCCCAGACATAGGCATGGAAAACCCCAGAAGCGACCAACTGAGGCAGTAGTGAAAACACATATTTTTTTCGCACCTGCACCTGTATAATAAATCCATCATAAAAGTCAGATATATATTACCCTCTGGTTATTTAACATAGCCATAGAAAATGGCCCATTTATAGATGGTTTACCTGGTGATTTTCCATTGCTATGTTAGTCATAACCAAAGGGTAACATCATTTGCTGATTTCGAAGCTCATGGATTTCCATAGGAAATGCCCCCTCTGGTTGGATCTGGTTGTGGCCAGGGCTTATGGCGCTTATGGCTACAAACTATGGTTAGTAATAACCTAGGAGTTGTAACATGTTGTAACCTCCATAGCTTGGGGATATTGGGGCCCCTACAGTTATGGCCATTTATCAGTTATAAGTACTAACAAGTCACCCCATTTATAGAATGTTTCTCATCCCATAGAAATAACCACTTATAACTGGTAGCCATGGCCATAACTGTAGAACGGCATGATGAAATGATCCACTTCTTAGTGGAACTGCACCCCCTCCGGTGCCAACGTTGCTGGGGTCCAATTTTTTTCGAGCCATAGCAATTTCTGCGTATTTAGAGCCATTTAAAAAAAATCTGTGTGTCCAACATGAAATCCATTCAGAATTAGCATTTCAGTTTCAATGCATTTGAATATAATCAATAACATCCCCATTGCGCCAAAAAGTCTGAGCCTCCAGCAGGGCAGGGTCAGAAAACCTTGTGACGCTGAGACCAGGCTTCGACCCATTTTTCTACATCGAATTCACAGCTGCGTCAGCAGATCTTGCACCTTACCTCGAAAAAAAAACATGCCAGTGATGGGTCATTTAGTGCAGAAAGCAAGAGTTGTGGTGTGGCTCATCAAATATCCAAGTTATCAGTGGGTATTTCACATTAGGGGCAAGGGATTCGCCCATTCTTGGCTCAAAAACCGAAGAACTACTATGGTAATTAAAAACGACCACAAAACTGTATACCAATCATCAATGATTATTATACGTTACACAGACACACATCTATACTAGTCATAATTGATTATTATATATCATTATAATACTATAACTATATATATATTATGTATATATAATGACATCTGGCCCCCTAAAGAAATCACCTCTCTTCAGCCAGCTGCCTGTGTCACCGCCAGCATCTGCCTGGCCCCAGGTCACCAGCTTCCCCTTCGCCAAGGCAGCGATGGCTGCACCGTTGGCTGCCAGCAGCCGCTGCACACGGAGATCTTTCGGTGGCGAGGCGTCGAAATCTTGGCCCCAGGTGACCACAGTACCTTGAGGGCCGAGGATTTTCCATCACTTATTTTGGAAAAAAAACAACAACAACAACCAAAAAAATCAATCAAAATCACCTCTCATTCTTAACATCCCAAAAAAATGTCTTGATGGTTCAGTTCTACCATGTTTTACCAACTTTTTGTTGATGAATTAGATATTTTTTTGATTAAAAAAACGTTGCAAGTTGTAAATCCATCTTATGGGTTACTTAGTTACTGCAGTGTCACCATTTTGCTTACCTGATTAAACCATGGTTTCTTGGGTCCCATTTTGGTTACCCTCTGGTAATTTCACATAGCTATGGAAAATGGCCCAGCTATAGTTGATTTACCTATTACAAATGGTGATTTTCCATGTTTTTTGTATCTTTACCAGAGGCTAATTGCTATACCATTTTCATATTTTCATATCCACTATTAACATTATTAACCATCACTAACCAGTAATTGTCCACTAGTTCTCCAGTAAAAAAAAACGTCCCTAACCATCATCAGTAACACTGGAGAATAACACCATTTGCTTCTCCAGTAACTTGATTAACCATTTAACCATCACTAACCATCATTACTGATGAATTTGATGATTTACCATCATCATTTTGGCACCAACCGCCCCAAGAGATGCCAAGTCTCCATCCTTCCTCCGCGCCACAAATCCGAGGCGTCTCCAGTTGCACAGCAGCTGCGCGGCGTCGTTGCAGGCGCAGCCCGCGTCCAAAGCGCCGCCGTAACGGCGGTGGCCGCAGGTGAACAGGGAGCCGCCCTGGGACCAAGGGGATATTCCATCAACAATCATGGGAAATAAAAAGGGAATAATTCATTATAGCGTTTATATCTGTATGTATATATATATACTTATGATTGATATTTGATCATTTGTCTATTATACATTATTATACTACTTCTTATATCATTGGGGATAGTTCTACTATTGGGATGGAGGATATTCTCAACTAATCCCGTCTCCCTAAGATAAAATACACAATTTCTATGGTCCGAAATATGTGTAAACCCCTTGTTGAATCATGTTTTTTTTTGGGGTGCAATACGAGGGGGGTGGAATTAGTTAGTGTAGTATCACCTGTTAATGTGTTTTAACATTTTCTTTCTAGAAATGGGGGTAGTAGAATCAATTGAGAGATGAAGATATCAGATACATTAGACATGGAAGAAGGTGATACAATTAAACATCAGGATTTGGGAGGTACCAACAACCAATAGGATTGACCACTTTTTTCAATGGGATTGACCTCATCTGGATGTTAATGAACTCAGCAACAATACGTGGGGAGCATTTTTTTTAAAAAACAACCATAATGTTAGGTGTTACCTAAAGTCTACTCATATATCTTACACGCCCCTGAAAGACGTAGCCTGATACAGCCTGGTAGCTCCACTATTGGTATATCCATGGGCGATCCACAAGGGGCCGCCCTATTCGCCAGAAATTGGCTGCTGGGTTTATGGTGACGAAAATTGGGTGATATAGTAATTACAATTTCATTATACCATAGGTGCAAGACCTAATCATTTGGGAATGGTAACCATACCACCGATAAAAATGGTGATGACTGGGGGATGGTTTATGGCATTGTTTTACCCACATGATCTGGTTGGTGGTTGACCTACCCCTCTGAAAAATGATGGAGTTCGTCAGTTGGGATGATGATTATTCCCAACATATGGAAAAATAAAATTCATGTTCCAAACCACCAACCAGAATTTATAATTACAACTGTTGGTTTAATGTTTTTTTACAAATCAACTGGTGAGCCGAGAGCACCTTGTAGTGAAATAGATCAATTATGAGGTGCCACAATGCTATGTGCCAGAACATGGTCAGTAAAATGTTTGAAGAAATGGCTTGCAATCCTCAAAGCAAAAAGTTTCAATACTGACAATGCACGAAGCCTCACTTTAGTGTGATGCCATGACTCAGTGTCCCATCACGGGGGGCATCCATCTGGGGGGCGAAGATTCTTCATCTTACATCTATAGTAATCTGGATCTAATAATCTATGTTTTATATACATATAATTATATAATGTATATATTTATTTATATATTTAATATATATATATATATATGTGAAATCCACAGGTGCCTATCCACCACGTTGGTCACATCTCACTGGTTGCATGTACAGGGAACATTTGGCTGAAGGATCCAAAAGGATGAGCCCGAGCGATCCCACGGTTGGGAGTCTTGAGTTTCCGCATTGGTAGCGGAGCCCGGACAAGCCGTGCCCGCGCATGGTTGCCGCACAGGTCCCACGGTGGTGACCTTGCACAGGTGCCTATGGCGTCTTCATCGACTGGAGTTGATGGCCCCGGCGGGTCGATCCGCTATTTTAGCGGTGAATCAGAAGACGCCCTGGAATACAAGAGGTGGCGTAATTGGGTGGCGAACAAGCTGCTCACACTGGACAAGTTGCCGAAAGAAGCCTATGGGTCATACATCTACACCTTGCTGTCAGGCAAAGCTCTGGAGTGTGTGGAGCATTTGGACACAGCAGATTACCAGAAGTCAGGAGGAGACCAGGTACTCCTTCAACTCCTGGACAGTCGTTTTCCCCAGAAGGAGAAGACAGATGTCATGGGTGAGATATTGGGGGAGGTGTTCAATTTGAGATCCAAATCAAATGAGCCGTTGAAAGCATGGGTGGCTAGGGCCACCGAACTGTTTGACAGGTGCGAAAGGAAATGTGGTGTCAAGTTTCCGCCTGAGGCTCGTGGATGGATTCTGCTTCATCGAGCAGGCCTTACAGAAGAACAGCAGGCCGTAGTGTTGGCCAGGGCACAGGGCAAACTGGAGCGAGAGCAAATCTCAGTGGCCATGAGGTCCTGCTATCCGGAGATGATTTGTCGTGGTGTCAAGTCTACAGCTGCTCACTTGGTTGAGGAAGATTCGGTTTTTGATCTGGACGAATCTGAGGCTCCCACTTTGGAGGCCGAATTTGCTGATGTGGAGCTGTTGCTTTCAGAACATCACCATCATGGACTGGATGAGGTCAATAGCAGTAGTGACGCGTTTTTGGAGACGGACGTTGCCGAAGTCCTTCAAGTTTCCTGGCGTGAAAAACGTGCCGAGCTGTCCAAGTTACAGAAAGCTCGAAAGTTCACAGCTGCCAAGGAACTCCGCCGAAGCTTTCGGGTGGAAGTAGAAGAATTGAAACGCAAGACCAAGTGCCATAGATGTGGAAAACAGGGACATTGGTCCCGAGAATGCAAACAGCCCAGAACGGATTTTCCTCAGAAGTCCGAAACCAACAAGGGCTCTACGTCAGGCGCTGCAGTGGTGCAAGCAGATCAATTAGATTTTGTAGCTGCAGTGGAACATTTGGTCCCACACTCTGTAGCCTGGGTTGGTCGTGAGTTGACGATGCTGGAACAGCTGCGTGAAATGACACAGAAACGCACCGAATCTCAACAGACAGTCATCGAGAATGAGGTGCTGCTGGTATCATCACCCGGTTTTGGGGTGCTGGATTCTGGATGTGGTCGAACGATCATTGGAGTCGAAACACTGTCTGAATTTGAAAAGATGCTGAATCATCGCAATATGCCTCAGCCAAGTAGAAGAACAGAGTACAACAGTTTTCGTTTTGGAAATGGTGCTACAGAGATTTCAACTGAGGTAGCAATGTTGCCCTGTTTCCTAGCTGGTCGAAGAGGTGTGATTTCAGCAGCAGTGGTGCAAGGAAAAGCTCCCTTGCTCATCTCTCGTGGGGCTTTGCAAACGCTGAAGGCATGTTTGGATTTTCAGAACAACCAGATTCAGTTGTTCGATGATCGGGTCGTAGTGCCTTTGGCCACAAATTCTGCTGGACAGTATGTGATCAATTTGTTGGACAAGCCCGACAATGCCAACGCAACAGTTGAGAGTGGATCTGAACCGCTTGCTGCCGTGCCTTCTCAAGAGGCCCTGCCGGTTCTGCCTGATGTTGAGCATGAAGACACTGTGAACGCTGGCTTTCATGAGCCGTCCAACGAACCTTGCCAGGTGCCTCAGGACAGTCCGTGTCCTGCCCATGAATGTCCTGAAACCCCGAAATATGTGTGGATTAGAGAGGATTGGGGAAATAGCCATGGTCCCATAGCCACTAATGGGGGTCCTCAATGGGAGAAGGTAAAACGTAGGGTAATCCGCACTGCACTTCATGGGAAGATCCTGTGGGATGAAGAAATTGATCACAGCAAACCTCGTAAGTGGTATCATCACAAGCTGCCTGCACATGTCGAGCACACCATCACTGAATTTCACCATGATGATCCATGTAAACATGACCCCAAGCCTCCCATGCTGTCTCAACGTGATTGTCGTAGACTGCAACAACAGGCTATGTCATGTGCCGTGATGGATAGGACCCATGTCAAGTCGAAGCGCATGATGGTGGTCGAAGTGTTTTCACCTCCGAGATTTGCTGAGGCGTGCCAGCGTGTAGGACTCAAAGCTCGTAGCATTGATCTGATCACCGGCCAGGATCTTACGGTGCCAGCCACGTGTAGGGAATTGGAACAAGACCTTAAGGATAACCCTCCCGAGCTCTTAGTCCTTTGTCCCCCATGCACTGATGAAGGTGGTTGGTTTCACTTGAACAAGCATAAATGGCCAGTTGAAGAGTATTTGAGACGCATCACCCAGAGCAGGAATTTCATCAAGTACTGTTGCCGGTTGTTCAAAACCCAGGTAAACCTAGGAGGTCGTGCTCTGTTCGAACATCCGAAGCCTGCCAAGACTTGGAAGTATGAAGAGATGCAGAACTTGTTGAAGAAATTTCCTTCTGTTGACTGTGACATGTGTCAATATGGGTTAAAAATTCCTGACAGTGATCGTTTCATTCGCAAGAGTACTCGACTGCTCCTGAGCCATGAGGACATGAGATGTCTAGGCAAGACATGCCCTGGTTCCAGTGATCCGTGTCATGTGTGTCATGATCATGTAGCAGGTTCACATGTCTCGATTGGCCGAGTGAGCACGTTTGCGGGTCGATACACGGAATCCTTTGTGCAGGCTGTGTTGGAAACCATTCCAGCATATCGCAAGCATTGTCACCAATGTCTAGAGGTGCACGAAGATGCAGTTCCAGACCGTCTCTGGCCGGAAGTGTTGGCTGTGGCTGAGAAAGTAGGCGAACAGTCTGATGAAGAACTCAAAGCTGTTTTGCTGAAGGCTCATAAGAATCTTGGCCATCCTGCCACACATGACCTTGTGCGCATACTCCAGAATGCACAAGCCAGTGACCGTGCCATTGCATTAGCCCGCACCTTAGAATGCCCAGTTTGTATCAGCCAAAGCAAGCCAAAGGCCGCTCTGCCGGCTCAACCGCAAAGGGTTTCCGAATTCAATAGGCAGATCGGCATAGATGTGAAACATCTCACCGGCTGGCGTCCTAACCAGAAGATCAAGGCGTTGAACATTGTTGACACTGCGAGTGGCCTCCAACGAATGATTCCTTTTATCAGTCCTGAAACCAGTAAGCTCCTGTGGTCCCTTTTGCAGGAACATTGGATTAGTTGGGCAGGCCCACCAAAGGAAATCGTGTTGGACCCATCTGCCACAAATTTGGGAGAGCCACTTATTGTTCCTTTAGAACACCGTGGTATTCATGTCCGCCAGATTGCTGCCGGTGCTCACTTCCAACTAGGGAAGGTAGAATCGCATGGAGGTTGGTTTAACCGTGTGTTGGAGAAGATCCTGACGGAGTTTCCGCCTTCAACTCATGAAGACTGGTTGGAATGTGTTTGTCATGCCCATGTCAAGAACAGCATGTTGCAACATCATGGAGTCACGCCATATCAGTTTGTGTTTGGTCGTAATCCCGATGTTCCTGAAGATCTTCTCAATGAACCCCAGCGGGTGGTCAGTGCCACTGCAGCTCTTACTGACGAAGCCATCGACCGAGCGAACAAGATCAGACTCTCAGCAAGAGAAGCTGTCATTCGTTTGCAAGATGATCGGTCCCTCCGGTTGGCTCTTGCTGCACGTCCGAGGGTTATAGACGATTTTAAGCCTGGAGATATGGTGGCATACTGGCGTAATCAGAAGTGGGTTCAGGGTAAATTGATGTTAGGGGGTAAATGGTATGGAACTGCCATAGTGTTGGGTAAAGTAGGCCGTAACTACGTCCTTGCTCACCGAAAGCAAATCCTCAGAGCTGCCCCTGAACAAGTTCGATCTGCAACCACTGAGGAAACCACTCTGCTGAAGACAATGGATGTTGAGTTACTGGGAATCAAAGATCTCATTGAAGGAGGTGCTTTCAAGAGTCAGCAGTTTCATGACCTCACGTCGCAATCGTATCCATCGGTGGCCAATGTGAACACCGGTGAACCCACGTGCCTGGAATCAATTGAGTCAGAAAGGACCCCTGATGCTTCTGCCGCGCGAGCCAGTTTGCATGTGCCTGACAACCAAATGCCACCCCTGGTTCAACAGCGACCAGCCGTACCAGAGTCTGCAGTAGGTGATGCCCCAACAGTGCCTGAATCTCTCGTTCCTGAACCGGAGCGTAACAACCCGGAAATGAGTGATCAGACAAGCCACTCAAGTGATGTGTCCTCCACTTATGGTCTCATGAGAAAGGTACGAGGGAAGAACGGGCCTGATGCTTTGTGGCGTCCACCCTCCATGAAACAGGAGGATTTTGTGTCCATCATGCAGGAAGTTGCACCACAGCTCATCAGTGATCTTTTACACCAAGAACAATCTGAAGTTGCCGATTCAAGCATGTCTGCTAGCAGCCATGTAGGTAAGCGGAATCACGAACAGAGTGAATCCAGTGCAAGTGAAGAGCCCGCAACTTCCAAACAGCGTACAGCGTCTCCGAGCACAGAAGCCTTGTCCGTTGAGTGGTTGGATACATGTGACACTGCTGAAGTCCTCATTGCAGAATACCTCAAACATAAAGCTGCCAAAGAGATTCCCCATAGTAATAACTCACCAGAGGTTCAGAAGAAAGTTGATCAGGGTAAACGACTCGAGTGGGAAACAATGGTCAATAAACCTGGGGTAGTCAAAGTTCACTATGGTAAGCATGCTCAAAAGATTCGTGAGGAACAGGCCCATCGTTTCATTGGCAGTCGTTTTGTGTTGACGCGGAAAGCAATTGAGGAAGGCCAGGCAGTCAAGCCTGACGATCCAACTACATACACTGTGAAAGGGCGTTGGTGTTTGCAAGGTCATTTGGACCCGGATCTACAGCAGAAGGCTGAAGAAGGCAAGCTTCAGTCTCCAACATTGAGCCAACTTAGCCGTATGGTGTTGATGCAAGTCATTGCCAGTCATGGCTGGGATCTTGAGCTTGGAGACATAAAGAGTGCCTTCCTTGAAGCGGGGTTGTTGGACGACAAATACCGTCCATTGTATGCAAAGCAGCCACCAGGTGGCATTCCAGGTCTCCCAGAGTCTGCCGTGATTGAAGTGTTGGGAAACATCTACGGACAGAACGATGCCCCTGCAGCATGGTTTGGAACGTTCAGACAAGCAGCAATTGACGCAGGATGGATGCAGAGTAGTTTTGACAGCTGTTTGTTTACGCTTCGATCCAAGCAGGATAATTCGCTGATAGGAGTGCTGGGAGTTCATGTCGATGACACAGCTCTTGGAGGAGCTGGTCCCGAGTTCCGTTTGGCCGTAGAGAAGCTTCGTGCACGTTTTCCATACAGAAAATGGCGTGTCAACAGTGGGGAGTTTTGTGGTGCCTTTTGATCAAGATCCCAAGACAAAAGTCATTCGCATGAGTATGAAGAACTGTGCAGAAAAGCTTCGCCCAGCCAATATCAAACGAGGTGTACCACCAGAGACACCTCTTGATGCACTGCAGCAACGCACTTTGCGTGCAATCAATGGTTCATTGAATTGGTTGGCCTCGCAATCAAGACCCGACATTTCAGCACAAACCAGCATAAGTCAACAAGCCTTTCCAAATCCCAAAATTCGACATCTCCGACATGCCAACAATGTGGTTCGAAGAGCCCGCATGCACAGTGATTTAGCTATAACGTTCACTCCAATCAAGCCAGAAAAGCTGACAGTCGTGTGTCATTCCGATGCGGCCTTTGCAAATGTAGGTGACTATACCCAAGCTGGTCATATCATTGCTTTTACCGAAACTAGTCTACAGGATGGTCAGGTAGCTGCATGGTGTCCCATAACCTGGAGAAGTCACAAGCTCACGCGAGCAGTAAGTTCAACTCTGGCTGCTGAGAGCCAATCATTGGCTACGGCGTCAGGTACAGTAGAATGGATCATGTTGCTGCTGTCAGAAGTTTTGGATGGACCTTTCAAATTGCGTGAGTGCCGAGAGAAGCTGAGTGTTAGAAAACCAATCCTGGTGACAGATTGCAAGTCCCTTTACGATCATCTCATGTCACCATCGGCCCCAACTGCAATTGAAGACCGTAGGACCTCCATAGACGTAGTCATAATCAGAGAAAGCATTCGTTCTCTCTCAGCGTTCATGCGTTGGGTTCCAACAGACCGTATGCTAGCAGATGCCCTGACGAAGGATCAGGGCGACCCTCTGGATATGCTGCGTTCGTGTCTAAAAAGCTCTGTGTACCAGATCTCGCCGGAAGATCATGTGTTGCGAATGCAAGCCAAAGAAAGAGAAGACCGACTCCAAAAGAGACTCAAACCAAGTTCCCCAAATTAGATGCGTCAAAACTGGAAGTTAGCCTTTCTATGCTCGTGGTTAGCTAGTCTTTCTGTGGAAAGAATGCATAGATGGTCATTCGTTGTGGGGGTCATCATGAACGAGTGTGCTTGTTAAGCTGTAACTGCCAGGCGTTTTCCATAGGATCTCAAATAGCCAGGGTCATAGCCAAGTACAGTAGTTTTTCCCCTCATGTCGCTCTCCAAGGGATTGAATGCCGATGAATCCAAGATGCTGCGCTCCTTGCTGCAGCGTGCTCATGAGAATGGTTCCTTGAACGTCTTCTTGCCCACATTGGGTTCTGAGACGTCTGATTGGTCAGAAGTCGAATCGCTGGAAGAGGATATGTCTGCCGCCATGAATGATGCGTCCAAGCGCCGCCTTGTGAGCCCAGATCGCCTGGATGCTAAGCATGGCCAGACCAAGCAGCTTTCAAGCAAAGCTGCACTGGCTGCTGGAACAAAGTCTCCGACAGAGGAGAACTCAGTGAAGATTGACGTTGCAAAGATGAAGATTCCTTCGGATGTGCAGAGCATCGAAGATTGGGGCACCACAATCATGGCTGAGGGCAAGACGGCTCCTCGCCAGATGTCATATGCTGAGTTGGCCTCGTCACCGGAGGCAGATATCCAGCGCTACCTGCGTTGGCTGATGTCCAATGTCAATGCCAAGAACTTGCCGCAGTATCAGGATCTCTCTCACTATCTTCATGTCACGAAGTATGGTGAGGCTTCTGGGCCTACTGGATTCAACCGGGTCCGCAAGACCGGCTGATCGATCTATGGATGGAGCAAAATCTGTGAAAGATGTGATGAATGAAACAGGCTTGCTATGGGGATGGCAAGCGCACTGTGCCTTGCACTACCATATGGAAATGGTATCATGCAAATCATCACCGGAGGACATGTCTTTCAATTTTAGATTATGACCGGTGTGAAATCCACAGGTGCCTATCCACCACGTTGGTCACATCTCACAGGTTGCATGTACAGGGAACATTTGGCTGAAGGATCCAAAAGGATGAGCCCGAGCGATCCCACGGTTGGGAGTCTTGAGTTTCCGCATATATATATATACATACATATACTGATCACCAAAATCTTGAAATTGGGAAAGTGTCTATCAGACTCCATTTACCTGCACGATGTTTGACCAAACATTTCCGGCGCTTGCACCATGTCCACCATGTCCCAACGTACACAAACCTGGCCTCAAAATCACAAAAAACAGAGACAGAGACGGTTTAATTAGATTATTTACCTCTTGAAAGTCACTAAAACAGTTGTTATCTTCCAATTTCAAATATTTCAATATCTTATCCCTGGTTCTCAGCTATAAGAGCCAACAATTGCTATATAACCCCGGCTTAAAATATGTCAATATCTGGTTCAATATATGCTAGTAATGTGGTAAACCCAATCATAAACCGTTCTCAATTTATTGGGCATATTTGGGATGATTTCAAATGACACACGGGTGGTTGGTCAATATGATGGTTTAATCTTGGGTTTACCACATTATTCTCCAGTTAAACATAACATAGTTGAGCCCCTGTTCCTTGTTATACTTATATCCCTATAAAATCTCCACAAAATAGCTGTAAAATCCCTATATATATATGCATATATATATGTTTCTACACTGGATGTTCAAATCAATAAATTGATTTTTCCATGGTGATGTTCCCTAGCCAAATGATGCTAAATGTATATAAATTTACCAGAGAGCAATGTATGTTGATATATGGCTTCCATGAAATTCTGGTTCTCACCCCGTGGTTTTTCCGGTCTCATCCTCACCCGACTGCCTCCGACATCACAGCAAAGGCCGCCGCTGAGCCATGCAGGATGTCATCGTTGCGCAGCTTGGGGAGGTGAGTGCTGATGGCACTGCCTGGCCGAGGGAAGTCACAAATAGGCCAGGAGCCAAGCAGCCATTATAAATTATACACACATAACATGCGTGTGTTTTTCATAATGTATATATATATAATAATTAATAATATGATATTTATGAGTTGAACATACTGAACAGTATAGATTGATAGTAATATGATGTTTGATGTTTATGAATTCAACATACTATATAAAGTATATAGATAGATATAGATAGGGCGTTATTCCTCTCAGAATTTGATTCTACATAGACCCTACCGACATTCTCCACTCGTTTCGGCCGCACCGTCGCCACCGTAGTCCGGATGTCCCCAGGTCACCACGTGGCCCTCCGTGGTCCGCGCCGCAAAGGCGGCGGCCGAGGCCGCCAGCTGCTGGACACGCGGCGAGACGAAGGAACCTCAAAAAATTGGCATTTCACCATAGAAAAACATAGAAAAACATGTTGTTCACCAGCCAAAAAAAAGACATGTGTATACATGTGTCAGATGATTTCACCATATTTCACCCAAAAAACAGATCTAAAATATGGCCTTTTTGGGGTATCTTCCATGGTTGTAGACTTCCCGTGACTTCCCATTTGAACTTTGAAGCCTTCCGCCAGTGTTCCAGGCAACAGTCTCCACCATGTCGTGGGTTTCCCCAGGTGACCACAGATCCATCGGCCAACAGCGCCGCAAACGCGCCGGCGGAAGCAGAGATCTGGCGGACGTCTCGCAGTTGATCTTGGACACCACGGCTGTCTCCTGGTCGTCATAGATGGTGCCCCAGTGATGTTTGTTGGTTCAAAAAAAACCATGAACCGTAGTTATATCAAGGTATATCTATCATAAACCATACTTAAGCCACCAAAAAAAGGCAACTCAGCTATCTTGGGGGCCCCATCCTGTATGTAATAACACATAATATAGTCTCCTGGAAAATAACAATGATAATAGTTAGACGGTATATTATGATAATAGTATATGATGATAATATCTAAATGAAACAATGATAAGGATGTATACTGATAATGACAATATCCAAATGTGAGGCTTCAATCATGATATTCATAGATTTTCCCTGTGAACATTGTGATTTCGGGATTCCGGATGGTGAGATTTTAGTGATGTGTATTCTCCTGCAAAACTCTGGAAATTTTGGATCCATAAACATCTATAAAGCGATCATCAAATATCCTCCAATTTGTGCTTTTTCAGATGAACTTGTGGATGCACGTACTGCTCGAGCATGATGTATTGTAGCCATTTTTTTGGCCCCCGAATGGAGTTTCTGGAGAAAATTAAGGGAAACCCTATGTTTTTTTTCAGCGGCAACCTGAACCCAGAAATCACGTGTAGGGACACCGCAGTTGGAGCGCGAGCAGTCATCTGCCAAAATATGTGGTAAAGCCAACAAATAGACCATCCCATTCACAGGGATTATACCCAACAATAAACCTCTATTAGTGAATAAATGGGTGACTAACTGACAGACTGAGGTCACCCATCCCATTCACCATCCATTCCAAGCCATATGTCACCATGATGTAATTCCTATTAGTGATGGTTGGTGGTGCAATAACCATCTTGAAAAATGATGGAGTTCGTCAGTTGGGAAGATGACATTCCCATATATGAAATGGAAAGTCATAAAATTCATGTTCCAAACCACCAACAGATAAACCTTTATTAGTGATGGTTTAACATAATAAAGGTGACATATGGTTGGCCCACCTGGAAATTTCAGCCATATGTCAATTACAATAATACTAATACTAAAAAATAAAACCAATTTCATGGTGAATATATTGTTCCATGCCATTAGCATTGGAATATATGGGAATTTCATGGTGACAGCTGGCCCGCATGGAACCTCCCATCCGACCTCCAAACTGCCTGTGGCCCCATGTCACCACGCGGCCGCTGCGGGTGAGCGCTGCAAAGGCCGCTGCGGAACCCCGAATGTCCTGCGGTGAGGAGAACCTTAGCCCCACCAAAAAGGAAGCCATGGTGAAATAGGGGAAAATAAGGTACAAATAGTGAATAAACCTAGGAATATTAAGTGAATAAGAGAATATTTAGCAAATAGTGAATATAGATGAATAATAGATGAATAATAAGGGATTGAAAATAAACCCAGGTCTGGTTTTGCCTAGTCTCCGATGAGTGCCATTGCTATAAAGCAAATTGACTTGTTCACCTATGTCTTGTCATGGTTCGAAGTTCAATCCCGATGTTTAATGGTGTTATCTCAGCTATTTCGATATGCAAAATCGCAATGGTCGAAATTTCATGAAATTTCATCAAATTCATCAGCTATCAATAGCTATCATAGCTATGAATCTGAAATTCGTACCCTCTGGTAAACTAACATAGCTATTGAAAATGTACCATGTATAGTTGATTTACCTATTCAAAATGGTGATTTTCAATAGCTATGTTAATTTACCAGAGGGTAGTTTTTTACCCCGAAAACCCTCACAGTTTGATTCCGAACCTCCCCGACAAGTCCTCCACATCTCGCAGCTGCTCCTGCACACAGCAGCTATCTCCACCAGCAGCGGAATTGCCCCAGGTCACAACCCTGGCGGCTCGATGGAGAGTCAATAGGCCCACAATTTAATGGTATCCTAATGGTGATTTATGGTGATTGAATGGCATCCTAATGGTGATTGAATGGTGATTTATGGTGATTGAATGGCATCCTAATGGTGATTGAATGGTGATTTATGGTGATTGAATGGCATCCTAATGGTGATTGAATGGTGATTTATGGTGATTGAATGGCATCCTAATGGTGATTGAATGGTGATTTATGGTGATTGAATGGCATCCTAATGGTGAATTTAATGGTGATTTAACAGCACCATAGTTCCGTTTTATGGAAACTCATACGCCAACAGCTGGTGGATCTCGCCATGCGAAGGATGATGAGTTTCTCGGGATCGGTCCAAAATTCGGATTCTTTATGACTGCGAAGGATGAAAACCCGCTAGTTACATCTATTTACACCATTTACCCTCTGGTAAACTAACGTAGCTATGGAAAATCATCATTTAAAAATTGATTCAACATTCGTTTACCATTTAAAATCATTATCATTATGTTTTTATCATCATTTTTAGTAGGTTTTTTTCAGCCACCTCCCGCCTGCCATCTGCCAGTACCGCGGCAAAGGCCCGATCTGACGCTGCAATGCTTCGCACCTGGAGGGCCATGGGGAACAAATCAACGAGGTCAACTAGCCATGAACGAGATAAAACATGTGAAAACATGTCAATATCCCCCAAAAACGATAGAAACATATCATTGATCCTATCTCAGTAAGATTTTACTTATTTTACTTTTCTATCTTTTGGGGGGGTACTATCTACATACGATACACAGTATACTATATATATAGTTGGAAATACTAGATAATAATGCCAAGACTTAGAATGATTGATGCCACACACACACACACATGTTTTCAATTGTTTTCATCTTCTAACAGTATGTCAAGAACCAGCAATCATGGCATGTTGTTGGTCTCATTTCATTGTTATTGGTAGCTTATCTAGGATTTGATTGCATACATGTCTGATACATCTGAATTGGCGTCCTTGCTGGGTTTACCACTGAAAACATCAGATTTCCGAGCCTCAAATCCCTCCACACCAAACTCCGTGACTCCATTGGCCCAACCCTTCATTGCCCATTTTAAGTCCCGTTGAATTATCCCTATTACCGTTGATCCATTGATATCATATCACAATTATATGTATACAGTACATACTGTATCAATCAATATATTGATTAAAACCCAATCTCCAGCTATCTCTTGGACAATTTGTGAGATCATCTGTTGTAGGTATATAATTCCATACAGCTATCTGAAAATATCTACAAATACATCATTCATTGTTAATTCATGGTTAATTGTACAGTACATTTTCCTTGCAACTCTGAATGTGTATATATATATATACACATACATATGTATACATATTTGGTATCCCCAGTAGATACCCCTAACCAACCTAATAAAAGTATAGATAAGTATATTATATCTATGTTCAACTAGATGTCCACTAGATATACACAATACAATTAGATATATTTGCCTGGATATCGATTTCCAACTAAAACTATTCTTATGTCTTAATACTAATTATATACAATAGTAATACCTGATTGGTGGTATACCTACTCCTCTCAAAAATGATGGAGTTCGTCAGTTGGGATTATGACATTCCCAATATATGGAAAGTCATAATCCATTCATGTTCCAAACCACCAGTATATCTCATGAACCATTATTTACCATTATTAACCATCATTAACCACCATAAAATGGCTGTTCCAGTCACCACCAACCAGATACAGTAGATCCCAAGTATATCTCCTCCCCATCTCCAACGGTCCAACAACGGTCCAACCTCCTTCAACTGCCGCTGCACATCTCCGCACGTCTCACCCCCAGCCGCAGGATCGCCCCAGGTGACCACCGAGCCATCGAGTCTCAGCGCGCAGAAGGCGCTGTGCGAAGCTTCGATGACCCGCACCTGGCGAGGGAAAGGGGGGAGGGTAGGTGACACCAAGAAACATGAGGATATGTATATAATGAGTGCATAATATATTGTGGTATAGATACTATTATGATACAATGAGATATAGTTGGGATATAATTGAGTTATAATGGGATCTGGATATTGTGAGATACAAGATGTAGAATGGGTATAAAATGTAAAAAAGAGAAAAATGGGGGTGCAACAATCATAATAGGAATATAGTGAGGCATATTAGGGATATGAAAATTTCACATTGATTTCCAAAACATGGGATTTACAATGATCAGACCAACCATTTCAAGGAATTTGCTATAATCATGGTTCATCACTAAGAGGAATTTAAACAATCGAAGAATGAGAATCACATGGATATATATATATATATATTTTATCATATATAGATAGACAAAAATATATACCCTCTGGTTCTTTAACATAGCCATGGAAAATGGCCCATTTACAGATGATTTTCCCAGCTATAAAGCTACATGTTTACTGAACCCTCCATGGCTATGTTAGTCATAACCAGAGGGTATATTGGGATGTCACAGGGATCATGGCTATATATATATATATGTACTGTTAAACATGTATATAAATATATATATATATATTTGAAGTTGTATATCATCATTATATCCCTATATATATATATGGTTGGTGGTTTCAACCCCACTGAAAAATATGAAAGTCAATGGGAAGGATTATCCCAAATATGAAATGGAAAATAAAATTCATGTTTGAAACCACCAACCAGATATAGATATATATATATATAGATAGATGTCATAGGGATGGGGGTTTTGCAATTTTTGTCATAGGGAAAACTCCAAATGTGCAATCCTGGCTTCCTTGAGATGATCCAAATCCATTTGTGGGGATCATCCATATGGATTAACACTTAGGATCTGTTTTTGGTGATATGAGATATGAGAAAGTATCTCATCTTTGGCTATATTTTAATCTATGATGTGTTTTTTTTTGTGTTGTTTTTTTTGCAGTAAATCATATCTTCATTATATTTTGTATAATATCCCAGCATGTACAAAAATCAAGGGTTTGTCGATAACATCATATACTTCGGATACCATGATCTTAATCTATGCTTTTATAATGAAGCTTTTATAGTGAAGATAGAATGATTGGGAAATTCTATGATGATTGACTTATTCGATAAAATGAAGATACCATGACGTGCTATCCATGATTTTATCCATCGGATCACAAGAATAACCACAGCAATTCTTATCATGTATCATTCATATGTCTGGGTAAATTATAAAAGTTCACTAACCTGAATTAAGGCCATTTGGGGATGATTTCCCTTATTTACCATGATTCCAGGGTTCGGTCGCAGTGAGGTCGTTATAATTTACCCAGATATGTGTATATATGAATATATAGTTAAACATATATATATATAGTGATCCTTAAGTAGATAGAATATTTTTTTGGAGGGTGCGGGATTTATGTTGGAATTATGTTGGATGTCGGCCACTTAAAAAAAAACAGGTAGTTGGAATATTTCGACCCCCCCCGGGGAGGTCGAAAACTGGTAGTTGGAATATGGTTTGGAGGGGTAGGTAGGTGGAATATGGTGGAATATCCTGTGGAAAAACAGTCTCAAGCTGCTGTGGGGTCTGCGCGTGGTGTTCACAATTCCCTCAAAATATTCTATCTACCTGGTTTGAAACAATATTCTATCTATTTTTTGGTGTTGTTTGATTTTTGTATTTTTCAAAATTTCCCCAGACCCGTGTCCAAAACTGGCTAAAAATGACTTAACAAAGACGAAAAACGTGTAAAAACTGAGGGTTTTGAAAATATTCCAACTATTTTTTTTTTTGAAAAAATCCTTTTTGAAAATTTCCGATATTCTATCTACTTCAGGATGACTATATATGTATATGTATATTATTGAAGTTGTATATCATCATTATATCCCCATATTGTTCTGGTTGGTGGTATACCTACCCCTCTGAAAAATATGAGTTAGTCAGTTGGGATGATGACATTCCCAATATATGGAAAAAAACATGTTCCAAACCACCAACCAGTTTTTGTTGGTCATATAACCCCATTATGATCTTCTTGCCTCACCATGAAATCCCATCTTCGACGCACCTCGCGCAGCTCTTGCTGCACATCGGAAACCTCACCACCGAAGAGAGGATCGCCCCAGGCCACTGCCTCCGGCGACGCCGGGGAAAATGAGGCGTCTGGATAGGGTTGAGAAGCAGAAATTGATGGAATGCCTTCAACAATCCATAGGATTTTAGAGGATTCATAGGATTGTGATGGAATCTATAGGATTTCATAGAAATTGTTTTGGGGATACAACGATAAGAAGAGGAACTTAACTATGTTCAACAAGAGGGGTAAAATTTGATGGACACCAACATATGGTTAATGATGGTAATGGTAATTACTGTAAAACCATGGAAAAGTAGTTGTTAAGGATGGTTTATATAACTAACTCGCCGAGACACCCTACCCCCGTGCGTCCACAGCGCGAAGGCGCGCCCCGTAGCCGCCATCTGCGGCTCAGCAGCGATGGCCAAGATGTGGGCCCCCTCGAAGGGGCGCCAGTGCTGGTCCTGGGGATGGAGGTTGGAAGATGCAAAAATCATGGGAAATCATAGGAAATCGTAGGAAATCAAGGTGTTTTTAAATGGCCTTGTTTTGTTGTTTTTGGGGATTGATATGGCATTCCATTGCTTTTTATAGCTTAGTTTAATCAATAGAAAACATAGGTCTTATGTGCTTCTATATGGTGTATCATGGCAAGAAATCATTGGAGATCATGTTTTTATCGCTGTATTTTGTGATGCTTCATGGTTTCATCATGATTTTCTTGCAAGTCTTCGAAGATCCAGAATGTGGGCAACCTAATAATCAATGCGAATTTCAGGATCCTAAAATGGAGGTACGTTAGTACCATATAAGGTCATATTTTGTGGGGATATCCCCTTACATAGGCCAAAAAAATAGGCCAAACATATATGGAATCGGTACCTCCAATGAATCGGTTCCTGGGTCATGGCCATTGAAATTACGAACATAACATTTGGGGATGGTCTACACCAATCAACTTCCAGGATCAGTCGTTGAGAACGACCGCCATCGAAGGCCGCTTGGAAGTGGGATTATCCTTCATGAAGAAGCGCTTGTGCTTACATATGTGTACATATACCATGTAATACATGTATGTATGTACATATACAATTATTATGTGTATATATATATATCATATTCAGATACATTTAGGAGGGTTTGTTGCCTGCCTCCGAAACAGAATTTCGATCTTCTAAATTCTACCCACTACCAATAATCAACAGTACATCACCTTCCAATTTCTTCTCCTTTCCCCCCACCCCACAGACCCCACACTCTTCACCAAGGTGCCACCACCGCTCCATCCACCACGAAGCTCAGGAACTGCTGCTGCAAGGCCTCTTGCGCCGCCCGCTTCAAATCCCCATAGCTGGCTGGCAGAGACACGTTGCAGCTCCGTCCACTGGGTAAGGAGACGTTCACCACAGCCATGGCGGAAAAAAACCCGGTGATCGGCTGGTGGAAAATATGGGTGAACCGAGATAGATTATGATGAATGTTCTATTATATATATATAATATTATATATATAGAGGTATATACACCTATTGATACATACTAATAATATATATTTGCCCGATTTCTGCCGAACATTTCCCCGATTGGCTGCGTGTTTGTGGAATTGTTTGGTGACTTCGCCAGAAAGTGAACCTCAAAAACCTGCCGATCACCCGGCCACACCGCGGTGGGCCCGGCCAAAAAATCCACCCCAAGGGCCGGCTGCGAGGCGGCATAGATAGGACCATTTCGTGCCAGGATCGTTTCGGCAGGGTCCTGCTATTTGGGACACCTAGATGTTCTTGCAGTAACATCCCTCTTGAAAAAAATAAAAACAAAATATCATCACAGATGACCAAAAAATGTTGACTTTGGATTTGACTCACCCTGAAAGCTGGAAGAAATCCCCTATATGGATCGCAAACCAAGACATTCTAGGCTAGAAACCTGGTCAATCGCTAGATGTTGTCACTTCTTGTTGACATGTTTGATAGATATCCCGATCCCCCCTGTGCCACCTGTGCCACGTTCTGTCCAAAAATAGGGGATTCTTTCAGCAGTTTATGGCCATTGTAATGGGGAAATTGATTTCCTCAACCCTGGGATTGTCCAAATCTTGGTTGTATGAATTTATTATTGGATCCATTCATTTTGGGTTCCTTTTTGGCGGTATTTACCAAATATTTTCGGATGATATTCCAAATACTTCAGGATCATGATGATATCGGACTCCAAATATCCCATTTCCAAATATCTCCTTTCCATCCATTTCCCATAAATGTTGGTAATATTTATATCCGGCCTCCATAAATTGCATGGCAAAAGAGCGCGCATGACTCCGAAGTGCCTGGAGGGTATCACCAGAATTGAGGATGCACTGGGTTCAATGTGTTTCTAAGCTATTAGAGACATATTATGGTTAAATACATTGCTATGTTATAATATATATATATATATAGCTGGTTGGTGGTTTCAAGCCCTCTGAAAAATATGAAAGTCAGTTGGGATGATTATTCCCAATATATGGAAAAACAAAAAAAGTTCCAAACCACCTATGAATATACAGCTTCAATACTGACGATTACAGATTGTGGTGAAGATTAAATGGTCCCGAGTCAAAATTGTGTATGGAACGTTCCGCGGTGTTCCGGACGTATGGAACGAAGGGGCTTCGTAACTGGTCTTGTTGCGGACCTTTGGAGTGTGATGAAATATAGGCTATCCATAAATAAATAAATATATATATATATATATACATTATATGTAATGTAACATATAATTTACTCCTCATCTGCACGGCACGACATCCTTGTTGTACACCTGTTCAACGCAGGTTTGCCTTGCATGGCTAGTGCTCGTGCACTAGATACGACACGACCGGTAGCCAGTGTCACCCACTGGCTACCATGTGAAGCTGTCGACTCAGCTTCAGACCTGTCACGCAGGTCCCACCTCCTACTCTTAAAACTCAGAGGTCCCTATATGGGGTAGATTGTGTCCCTGCATAGCAAGACTCTACCCTCCCACAACCCACGCGCAAAGGATGGCTTACGAGCAGTCTATGTGAGAACCTGCCATGTGTTCACCAGTGGGTCAGGGGTGGTACATGGGTGGTCCAGGTCTGGAACGGGTATGGAACTGTATGGAACGGGGTCTGGAACGAAACGGCCCACTCCAGCACAGCACTGCCACCACGCAGCACATCTTTATCAAAATTCGCAGTTTGGAGCGAGAATAGCGCAGCAAGCAATTCTTAGACTGCCAGCTGGCAGCAGCCAAGCGCATCTCTACAATCAAACACCACAGCTGTGCCACAGCCTGCAGCAACTTTAAGTGGTGCAGGCACAAACCTGCCACAGGTTGAGAGGGAGGGAGGGTTACAAGCAATCCATTCTTAGACTGCCAGCTGGCAGCAGCCAAGCACATCCCTACCATCACACAACAAAGTAGGTAGCAGCTGTAAGTGCTGCAGGCACAGACTTGCCAACACAATCACAGGGCTTGGGCATAGTAAACGTATTCTTGCATGTATGCACTCATGTATGTACGTGCGCTCATATATGTGCGTACAAATGTAAAAACAGATTGCACAGAATCAAATATATATATATATATATAATTGTATATATATATATAATTATATAATTTTATATATAATAACGTATGGATCAGAGGTATGGAACAGAGGTATGGAACAGAGGTATGGAACAGAGGTATGGAACGGATCCTTCAAGGAGGTATGGAACGGGGGTAAAAAACGGGTGTCCTGGAGCTTGTTCCGGACCTCCTATTTTGACTTGCCCCCATATATGTATTTGACATTTGGGGTCCATTATTTGGAGGTATGTAGTATCATCGGGGGGAATTTTCTGGATCCCACATCGTTGCAATTTTAAGCCAAAGATTCAGCCAAATCCTGCTTGATTTTTTGTGGAGCGCTCTGGGGATTGATGAATCCAGGGTTGACATTGTAGGTAGGTTATTAGATTATGGTGAAATACTATGTTACTATAGAAAATATGTTTTATATACTGGTCCAGGTTGGTTTGAAGACCCAGAATCCATGAAAAATACTGTGTCCGTGTCCTTTTCAAATTGGTTATTTATGTAAAATGCATGTAAAAGCATATCATCATATCCCTTCTGGGAAATGCACTTTTGATTAGTATATCAATCCAGTATAGCGGTTGAATTATAGGGCTTCCCATAATAAATAATAGGAGACCGATTCCCAAACTGGCTTACAGTGTATATCCCCTACTTGATATTATTTAGGACAGCCCCCATATGGTCGAGAATTCGGTACGCTTTGTTCGCGTGGATCATTTATTAATTGGGGTGATTTGATCAAATCTCGAAAATGGTATTGAAACCATTGGGCATTGGGGATATGATCCAAAATGGGGATGGCATAATATGACCCATAGGATCCATGGTGCTGGTATATATGGTAACATGGATCCCATCAATATACCCCCTTTATGTTAGCATATATACCAGCACCATGGATCCGTCATGGGTTATATAGAACAACATAAGGATGTAAATGAATTGAGATGTTGGGACCATCATTGGGGGAATTGAGAATGGCATGACATGTTGAATAGCGGCTATGGGGATGAGCATCATGGCGTGGCTCGTAGAGCTCTGGAGTGATACGTGCAGACATGTGCAGACAGAGACACAGCAGCAAGTCTGGCAACTGATCTGATTTTCATAGAGAAAGTGGAAACAACATCCAGTGTTCAAACCCTGTCAGCTCGGGAAAGGCCACCTACAGTTGTTGCCACTGAAAACGCCGTGATCCGTCTCGCGGCTTCATGACTGCTATGAACGAAAGGATGGGGAGGAGATCAACTCCCTTGGTGAAGAAGCAACCATCTGAAAGTCCCTCTTAGTGCACTCATAAAGATTCACTCAACCCTGGAAACAAATGCCATTGGAATGACCCCCTGTCTGGTCATTAAATCAGATTGAATTTGGTCATCCAAAGCTTTGATGTTTTTTTTACCATTTACCCAAGATTTTCTGGCGAACAAAAAAAATCGCTGGCAGCTATCCTATCCATCCAAAAATCACCACAAAAGTCCTGGCTGTTGGCACCTCTAGGGGGGAAGATAACTTCCAGGCGCCCACGGAATCGGGTACCTGCCCGGGGGACAACTGTCATGTCGTGGTCATCAAGAAATACAGGATGTTGTTTGAAGATGTGAAAAATCTCAATGGTTTTTGGGAAGATGTGAAATGGGAAGATGTGAAAATTCTCAAAGTGTTTTCAAGATGTGAAAAATTCCCAATCAGTTTTCGTTGGGACTATTGCATTGCTATTGATATGCAGCCAGCCCTAGAGCATGTCCATCTCCAGCACACGCCATTCTCCTGATAGAATATATGTCCAAAATCTTCTCGGTGGTATTACCCTATTTTCCAATGGAAGCTGCGCTCTCAAGAAGCTGTTGGACATGTCAAATGTTTCTGGTTACCAATCAATGCCCAAATCGAATGGGTCGATTTAACCTGAAAATAACCAGTGGGGGCTTCAAAAAAAGGTACCTTCTTGAGGGGCCAAAAAAAATGTTTTTTTTGCGCCAGAGCTCCACAAAAATCCATCCCCACAGCGTGTCTATTGCTCTTGAAATTACATTCATTTCGGTAGGTGAACATTTGAATCCCGGTGTATGCTGGTCAGATTCATCTGTTTACTATGTTTGTTGTTCGAATCAACCAAATCCAATTTTTTGGTAAGTTGATTCACATTGTTCTTGTTGAGTCTACATTTCTGCTGGCTAGCTCCAAAAACCTACGGCAAAAAAAAACATGACAAAAAAATCAGTGGTTAACTCCTTCAGTTTTCCTGGCCAAATCCCACATTTTTTCAATCCTTTTCAGTGGCTCAATCCTCACTTCTACTGCTTCAATCCTCAATTTTTGCTCACGAAATCCTGAAAATCCGAGTGGTTCAATCCCCACATCGATCGCCTCAGGGACCGCTGCAAAGGGTGAAGGCAAAGCCATAGGTGTGGACACCTGGCGGAACCATGGCAGCTTGGAACCCATGAAGGATCCAAGATGGAATATGATATATAGATATTTATATAATATATAGTATAGATGTAATATATAGATAGATTATATATATATATATGATATAGAAAAAATGATGTAGATATTTGATAGGTATTGATCCATAGCCATATAGATTTTATGTGATGGTATTGGCTAAAGTATATTGTTTTTTTTAGGTACGGGTATATGAGAACATGGGAGCTTATCTTGGATTTGCGATCCAGGAACGCCAAAAAAAAACAAACACTTGCCAAAATAGATTTCCCAGGGAGTGAATTTTAGACTGGAAAAACAACACATAATCTTCAGCAAATCTAAGTTATTTGACAATCCAAGTGATATGCCGTAGGATTTTAAGCACATTTTTCTTGTTTACACCCCATGATTGATAATTATATCACTATATTTCGCAAAACTAGAAATTGAATAATCATACCTTACCACTTCAATAGATAGAAATTCGTGGAAACGTGAGGAAAAAAAACACATGATATATATCACAGCATTGAGATAATACCAATAAATATGCCAATATATCCAATGTATAATATGTATTATATGATTTTTCCATGCTCGCTCGAATTCCAGCTTGCACTTGGGCCCGCTAACTGTAGGCACAATTTAACAGTACCCAGGGTTGTTTACTACAATTTGCACCCTTTGCTGCCTACCATGCATAAAATAGGTCCCTACAAAATGCATCGTTTTTTTTGAAGTATGTTCTTTGGATTCAATAGACAATCCCAAGTGGCATCATTAAAAAACGCAATGCATTTTGTAGGGGCTGATCTTTGCTCTGCAAACCTGATCCTTCTTTTTTGGGTATGCAAGTTGTAGCCATTTCTGTCCCGGCCTTTCCCTTTCCCCAGGCTCCATTTTTTTTTCACAATGTTTGGTTCCCATTGTTTGTGTTGGTACCGCAAGCCGCTGTCAAGCTTGAAAACACACATGAACAATGAGTGAACAACGAGTTCCTCTATTGTTTTCTCTTCTGGATGATGCATTTGCATATATATATATATATAATTGCTACCCCCCCCAAGACCTACCTTTTTTGGGCTTATATGTGTCAGATAGTTGCAGTTTTCCTTCCAGACAAAGTATGACTTCGTTCAAGAAACAGTACCCCTACAAAATATAGAGTATTCCTCTAAACATGCAGTGCTTTCTTTCTGAAGAAGCGCAGTCTTCCTTTTAAACAAATATTAAGCCTTCCTTCAATCATACAGCATTTCTTTCAAAACACCAGATTCTAACATTTTGGATAAGTCTGTGTTTTTGATGCAACAGAGTAAGAATAATATCTTGATCCGTATTTTTTAATCTACAGTGAATATAGCTTCATTATAGATTCCATATACTTTAATATACCAGTAATTTGACCATAAAGATATCTTCAATAAACCTTTAGTAAACCGATTATATATATATATGTATATATATATATATATGGCACCCCCCACAAGTCAACCAAAACATGACCCAAAACTGCAACCAAAAATATAAGCTCAAAATGTGCATAATTTACGGCAAATACCAGTAAAAAACACAAAAAGGTAGGTCTTGGGAGGGGTACCATATAATTTTGTGTATATAATATACGTATATATATATATACACAGACACATGTAAATGCGTATATCTACACATCACGGGGGTATACGCGGCTGACATCGGAAAACACCTGGACCATCCTAACCTACAATTTCCATGGACCATCCTAACCTACGATTCAAAATGCAAACCCTACCATTTGCACAGTCCATCCTGTCATGTTGATAAAGTCAGCCAAAAATTGATAAGATCAAGTCCCCTACAACTTGCACCTGGTTTTTGGCCCAGGATCAGTTTCCTACAAAATGAGCCCATCCTACTTTGGCAAATTTTGAAACCCTACAATTTGCCTATGGGATCTCAAAAGGTAGGGAACCCAAGCAAACCATTTTTGTAGCTAAAATTCGATCCCCCATATTTTTCCAACGTCTATCTCAACTTCTGGGGCTATCACAATCATCACAGCCCACCTCGATTTTGAGCGATGGCAGCTCCGAGCCATTGGGCTCCTGGTGATGGGAATGCACCCGCTGGGAAAGGCCTTAAAAAGTCGGAGAATTTCACATTGGAATGAAACCACCGAAACTGCGAAAAAAAAATATAATATGATCCCTACTACCTTAGACGGGGGGGACCTGGAAAATGTAACATACATTTTCCATATGCTCAAAATGCAGGTTTTGGAAATTCTGCATTTTCCACATCTTAAGTACGTAAACTACCATATGTAACCCCATATAGATCTAAGAGACGTAAAAATGTAACGTTACATTTTTAGGTCTTTATAGCCTCCAAGACAGATCAACATACATTCAACATACCTAAAGAAACATGTTACATTTTTTAAATGTAACATGTCCAGTTGAGGTCTCAAGTACGTAAAGATACGTAAAGCCTTTTTTTCCCTCCTTTGTGCCAAGAGCTCATCCGCGCGTGCAACATGCATTCCTACTGGAAAGTAACGTGGGGTTTCTGATAACATCCAAATTTCTGAAAATATTTCCACTCATTTCCAATCCCATTTTTTTCAAGGCCTTTCAAGGCAGCCTTTGAATTACGAATGCCCATGAATGCCCAGACGCCCCACTTTGAGTAATGCAAAACACTAAGTTTTCCTACCCCGGGCCCTGCATCTTAGATTTTCAAAACTTAGGGATTAATAGGTCCAAAATGTAACATGGCACTGGGAGGGCTCCCAAACCCTGCAAAAACCACAGTACTTGCCTACCCTAGCCCCTGCATGTTACATTTTACATCATTTTACATATGCGCACACGCATCGCAAATCTTAGGGTCTTTGGGATTGATAGGTCGAAAATGTAACATGGCCATGGGAGGGCCCCCAAACGCTGCAAAAACACAGTAATTCCCTACCCTAGCCCCTGCATGTTACATTTTACATACGCGCATACGCATCATCGCGCATCGCAAATCGCAGGGATCAACAGGTCGAAAATGTAACATGGCCATGGGAGGGCTCCCCAAGCTTGCAAAACACAGTAGTTTCCTACCCTAGTCCTTGCATGTTACATTTTACATACGTGCACAAGCATCGCAAATCGCAGGGATCAACAGGTCCAAAATGTAACATGGCCATAGGAGGTCTCCCAAACCCTGCAAAAACACAGTAATTCCCTACCCTAGCCCCTGCATAATACATTTTACATACGCGCATGCGCATCATCGCGCATCGCAAATCGCAGGGATCAACAGGTCGAAAATGTAACATGGCACTGGGAGGGCTCCCAAACCCTGCAAAACACAGTAGTTCCCTACCCTAGCCCCTGCATGTTACATTTTACGTACGCGCACAAGCATTGCAAATCGCAGGGATCCACAGATCAAAAATGTAATATGGCACTGGGAGGGCTCCCAAACCTCGCAAAATACAGTAGTTTCTTACCCTAGTCCCTGCATGTTTCATTTTACCTAAGTGCGCACACATCTCATCGAGCGTGAAATTTCTCGAGGCGTAAGTAACTTAGGACTTGGAGCCTTTTGGATATCATCAGCATTGTCGATGTTTTCATGTATCTTCAGGTCTGCCTAAGGTCTGCCTAAATAAAAAAACACAAACACATAAACAATGAACAACAAGAAATAACCATGTATTAACATATATGTAAAAACATTAAAAAATGTAACATATACCTCCCCACGTCTATGTTACATTTTCTTGGGCCCCTGTAACATATGCTTGTTGGGGGGGGTCCCCCCCCCTTACGTATAGATTACGTATGGTTTCTTCGTATGGAAGGGGGGGGGCTAAACAAATGTAACATGCAGGCGGGAGGTACATGTTATATTTGTTTGCCCCCCCCCTTCACCTTGTATGATAGCTATATGGAGGGTGGGGGGTCAAAAAGAATTATTGTATCTTACATTTTTGGGGTCCCCCTGGTTTTCGGCAAGCCAAGGGGGTAGGGATATAATATGTATATGTGCTAAATTATGCTAATATTTAGATGGTAGAACTGAGGATTTAGCTGCAAAAATGATCATAGATGTTGATTGAACAACTGTGACTAGATAGGACTCAATTAGGACTCATTGTGTGTTCGTAGCCAGCCTTACCAACACCACATCAGCCGATCGATGCGGAAATAGCTATTGAACCAACAAAATACGGTGGATGGGCCAGCGAAATCCTGCACCACCTTGGATGGTCGAAACCCCAACAAAATAATGGGATGTTTACCATCTATATATCAACTGGTGCAGGATTTCGCAACCATCCACAGTACGCTGATTCAAAGAAGAGTTTTATCATGTTTTATCTGGAAAAAATAGCATGATAAAAAAGCGAAGAACAATGGGGATTACACCAGTGGAAATAAGGGGATTTGGATGTGTTTGTCACAACAAGGATGGGAATTCAACGGAATGTAGCAAGCAAACATTGGCAAATAACAAACATCTAGTGGCGATTTCCGAGCTTTCTTCGACGAATGCAGTTCGAATGACTGGCAACGCAAAAATGCCTTGAGTTTTCAGTGAAGAAATAGATTGGTAGTCGGTAGCCTCGTTGATCAGGAGTTTGAATCTAAAAAGCACATTCAAACCTACCAAAAAGCAAATTACCATAAATATCCATAAATTACCTCTACTAATACCCTCTAATGGTCTTCAGGAGTAGCTGAAACAGGTGGATTTTAAGCTGACCTTTCTGGAAAATGGCAGACATTGACCATCCCAAACAATCAGAGGGAAACCGGTTGAGTTTTGGATCGTTGGTTGCCGGTTGATCCGGTTGGCCTAAGGAAAGGATTGCCAAGGCCCATGCCAATAGCCTCAGCCCAATCCTTGGTTTTCGACACCACTTGCCGGCTCCTCAGGACTCTCACTTTGGATCGGAGAAGGCACTCTGAAGCCTCCAAACTCAGCGGGAAGTTGTTCCCAACACAGCTACGTTGGGAGGTAATTGTGTGAACAAAGAAGTCAAGTTCCAATTTCCCCAGCCTTGTGGCTATCATGTACCATTTTCATATAGGCTCTAAGTGTGTGATTTTTGGAGTCGAGGGTTCTCATGGGGACCATGGTTCTAGCTGAAGAAACAATCCTATCTCGGATGGGCCCACCTCTAATTATGAAATTCCATTGCTGCAAGGTTATCATCATATGTAATCATATGGGGGGTTCCAATGGAGGTACCCCAAATGGATGGTATATAATGGAAAACCCGATATTAAAATGGATGATTTAGGGGTACTGTACCCCCATTTATGGAAACCCACACAGAAAAACACCCAACACAGAAAGACCTTTGAAAACGCTGAGACCAAAACCCACCTGCCCAAAAGACTCACTGCCGTCTCCGAGACAAACGTGACAGGATTTTTCTTGGTCCTCCTTTCGAGGATGACAGAGGTAACTGCTGGAGCCAGCCTGGCTTAGGACTGGCAGTTACAAACCAAAGCATGAACAGTCTGTGCCGGATTGACTCTCGACTCACATTAAATCCACAGAGACCCGCTGCCTTGTGAGCAGGTCATTGCGAACAAATTGTGGGCTTGGATTCAACCATAGTTCCTGGAAAACGTGAAACCACTGGAAGTACGAACGTGGAACATGTTTGGCAATGGATCGCCAAGTTGGGGATGGTTCATATTTCCAACCCATTAAATTGGGATGTTCGAATTCATGAGCTTACCCAATTTCTTGATTGGCATTCTGCAAATAAGCAGTTTCCACATTCATGTCCAGATGGTAATTTCGCTGTCGCAGCAAGTTCAAGTGTAGTCCTCCGAGCTTACACCGCCTGCTGCGGCAACGCTCCAGGAAAATGTTGCTATACTGTTACTGGGCTATACAGATTGGACCCCGGTCGGGATATCCCAGGTTTTGAGGATGGAAGGTGTTGGCCACAGGCCACAGGCCACCAGGACATGATGTTTTTTTCTCAAAGGCAATCTTAAAAAACATACGAAACAAAATGGACAAACCTCTGCTGAAGGTAGCAATTTTCCATCCCTTTAAGATTTGTCAGCCACGTCTTATGCCGTCATCTTGCTGAGCAACATCAAGTTGTAGGCCACTTGATCCAGGGCACTCTCATAGCATACCGAGGAGCCTCGAACCCAGCAGGCAGCCATAAACCCTGGCACCCTGATGGATCATGTAGATGAGCGTGTAAAAGCAACAAGGAGGGAGATATCCCAGAAGGCAGCTTTAATAAATGATGGTAAACCACCAAATTTGCGTTGTTTCTCCTTTTCAAATACCCCCGAGATTCAAATTTGGATTCCACACAATTAGATGCGTCAACAACCTTCATCCCATCCATCTTGTTTTTTTTTCAACCACACCCAGCCTATGAAGATGGTGTTCCTCTTGCCCTGGAGGTCCAGGATTTTCCACGGAAATTCCTTGACCAAGGCCTCGTTCTCGAAGTGCGGAAAGTAACCCCAAGCCTTCTGCAGAAGAATCTCCACCTCAGGCTCTCCTGCATAGCTTTTCCTTAGCCAAGGGCCAAGCACCAGCTCTGGGGGGATTTACCAAGAAGAGCTGGGAAAATTCTGGAAATTTCAGGGATAGGTCCAAAATTCAAGGCCCGATTCCAAATAGATTCTCAAGGAGCTTAACCAACTCCAATTCTTGGTGAAGTCTTCCCAAAAACCACCGGGCTTCACCCCAAAGGTGATCCCCCAAAGAACGTAAGGCGTTTTTTTCGTCATTCGCTTCGTATGCTAACCCGAGCCGCAGATTTTCCTTCAACACTTTCGCCAGTTTTGCCTCGTCTCCGGTCTGCAAGGGTTTGGGCATGTATTGATAGGCCACCCGCAGCTCCACGCCGTTGGGCGGCAGGTTGGGGCGCGCGGCCATGCGGCTGTTGCGCTGGGCGTAGAATTGGCCCACGCCGTCATCCATGATGCCCATCCTATTGTGGGAGATGGGGGTGAAAGGCTGCAAAATAACAACGATGACAATAATAATCATCATCAAATTATCATCATCATCATCATCATAATCATAACAACAACAATCAGACTTTAATTATCAAAGAATAAACATAATCCTATATTCACCATAATAGTGGTAATGAAAATGATAATGGTAAAACTAACAATAATAGCAATAACAAAGAAGAACACTATAATAAATGAAAAAAACAACGATAATAATCATAGTGATAATGAAAAAATATCGATAATAATCATAATGATAATGTTAAAAACTAACAATAATAGCAATAACAAAGAAGAACACTATAATAATGAAAACATATTGATAATAATCATAGTGACAATAGTGATGATGATGATGATGATGATGATGATGATGATGATGATGGATGGATTCGATCAAACCTCAAGAAAGCAGTGACCGTAAAAGTGTGTGGACTTACTAACCACCAACAACCACAAGTGAGTTTAAAAAACAAAAAAACGGCGACAAGTATCATCGGGGGTTGGTCAAATCCCATGATAAAGATGAACATGAAAAAATGCAAATAATGGCAACCTAGGGATACTTAGGGAATGTTTATTCGCTGGGCTGTTTGATTGAGGCCCAAGAATAGCTATGATTTTGAGAATGACAAATTCAATCACCACATACAGCTGCAACATGCTGCAACAAGAAACAGCTGGTGCTGCCTCAGGCATCCCAATTCATGGTTAAGAATTGCTGCGATCGCCAAAAAAACATATAGATTCTTAGATAAATAGACTTAGACTTGGACAGTGTTTCTTCCGTCAAACGTGCTGGAAATCCCCCAAACCAATTCCCTCCCCGCATGCACCGTCATCCCCCGTCCTCCCGAACCAGGTTTCCACCGTATGCTCATGGTCTGTGGTCTTCCCCTTGTACAAAGTTGTGGTCAGGCTTTGTCCTTGCAACCTATGCAGCTGGATCTGGCGGATGATTCTTTAGGGGCCAACAGGATCCACTGAAAACTCAAGGCTTTTTGTGGTGGACGTGGTTCCAGCAATCAATGTGATTCAGTGAGTTTTTGAAGTTGACAAGGATGGGATGGGTGCGTTTTACTTAGCATCTTGTCTTCACAATAAAGGTTGTTGCACCCGTGTTGCTATCAATCCCAATTCATGGGATCATTCTCCCCCAACAAAAACACCAAACAACACGTATGGTGAAAACGAACGACGGATGGTGAACATATTCACCAAGCCGCTCATCATTACGGATCTCTCCAAAAATAGAGTTCAATGATCATCCACATCTTTCTTAAGCTAATTTCAGAAAACCCAACTGCTAAGTGGTTCAAGCCATGGAAAATTCCTAGGCAACCAGGCTCCGACACCCTAGCCTTTCAACATCTCAGCTAGGCCACTGGGAAAAGATCTGCTCTTCTTCAGGGGCCAGGTCGCAGATCAGGTGTCGGAAGCGAAAGAGGTCGATCGCAGTGATGACCACGTCACCCTGAAGAGTGTGCAACCTGGGTGGCTTCGACTGGTAGTTTTCTCCAAAAATGGTGTGTACCTAACAGTGTATCCATGTGTACCCCTCCATAAGGCAGATAAACCCTACCATGTACATGGATTAACCACTTTATTTATTGCCATGTAGTGCTTGATAGGTGGTCATCAGCACGTTCTCCCTTAAATTGGCTATAATTGGGCTATACCCGATTTTCAGTCAAATCCCGTTGGTGAAAACCGCAGGAATTTGTGACTCATCCTACTTGCCCTGATTGGCCCAGTTGGCTGCGAAATTGTACAAACAGCTTGAGCTGAGGGCACTGTTCTTAAAGTTTCTTTAATTGTCGCTTTATGTCCCTTTAAGCGCATCTTAGAGGAACATTTTTCCATAGACTCTTGTATAAACTCCCACACAAACTTAGGGACAGAATTTCTCAAATCTCTTTGGGTCGGAAAACGCGGTCACCCAAAAATCCCCAAAATGACCATTTCTGGCTTCATTGGGACCATTGGGATAGTGATGCGATTTTCCCATTGCCAGATTCTCCCAAATCTTCAGACATCTCCATCTGTTGTATCTCCATAAGTTGCTGCTAACAAACAGCATTCAAAGCTATATGGGTTTATCCCAAAATGGGGATACCCCCAACTCATAGCCAACTCATAGCAATCATTTGGGTGGCTTGCTGGAAAAGTCCAGCAAAGCTCCATGAAAATTTAGGGGATTTCCCAGCGACGTTTGATGACCGAACACATAGGGGTTCCCTACATGGGAAAAGCATGATAAAATCCGTTCTTAATGGGAAAAGCATTCGAATCCACACCTAAATGGAGGTATCCCACCAAAATAGCAGCCTAAAGGAGCATGGTGATTGGCCGAAAAACGATAGCTAAGTTGGTTTACAAGTAGAATGATCAGGATTCATATGCATGGTAATTCAAACTCTATTTTTCATGCGGCAAACATCAACCAACAACTACAACTGTGGAGACTCCAGTGGAGACCCACCTTATTTCGTTTAAACCGGTTAAACCCCGACAAAATCTCTGAAAACCTAGGCAGATTTATGCTGCTTTATAGTGGAATATAGACAACTTGGCTGATTTTATCATGGGGTATCATTATGGCTATATATGAATCAAACCCCTGCTACCTAGGTATCCTAAAATAGCTGGTTAAGGGACTTGATTCCCAAAAAACGGTTAAAAATATGTTTTGACCCATCCCCATACCCATAGGATCCATGTATGCTATATATGGTAACATTTACCATCAATATACCCCCAATGTTAGCATATATACCATAAATGGATCCTATGGGATATAAACAACCAAAACAAATCTGCAAAAACTTTGCTTTTTCTCAACCAAAGCAGCTTCTCTCCTTGTCGGTAGGTCACCTCCACCGTTGGGCTGCGTTTGATCTCAGTGACGCTGGCGCTGGTGATGTACGTCACCTCTTTGCTGTGCCTCTCCTGAAACGTGGCGCACATCGCTGGTTTCCTAAAGTATGGCTAGCCCAAAACCATTGGGTTTTCCCATTGAAAACAGCCAGATGATTTTGGGGTACCCTTGTTTTAGGAACCCTCCATGCGGTGTTTTTTTTGGAGAAATTCGAGCCCAAATTCGCCGTGTGGGTTTTAAATGGTGGTATACACACCAAAATGTCACTTTACATGCAAAGAGGGAAAATATGAGGATACCACATTGAATTTTAGGGTACCCCAGTTTCAGACAAACCCATCTACGGAATACTTAATTACTCACGTTTACCCTAAAAAGAACCAGTTATGTGTTCAAATGTAAGTTTTGCATAATATGCTTGTAGCGCTACCGGGTAGGTTGGAAACCCAACTGATTCTTTACAGCAAATCAGTTGGCTGTGTTGGGAAATACCTATCGAAAATTAAGTGAAACAGAACCTGTTCTTTTTGAAGACAGGGATGCCTTAAATTCTCCCATCAACCCATTTTGGGATATTTTGGGCACAAGAAAAACAATGACAAATCGACGATTGAAGCTGTTGAACCAGGGGAGATGGTTTTTCTTTCCCACCAGGTCGCTTTCATCTTCAACCACAGGGATTGCCATCCGTTCTTCAGCAAGGCCAAGCCCGGGTTGGGCGGACCACCCAGGATGGCACCGATGGTATTCCTGGCGATGTCCGGATGGTTCCACCAAAGGAGGTAGAACGCAGGGACCTGATCCAACATACCATAACCTTGGACCTGCTGGCTATAGATGAAGATGGGCGTCAAGATTTCCAGGCCGTTCCTTAAGGACGCGGGCGGACGGACGAGGACTGCGGTGTGTTTTTGGTAAAGTCGGTAGAATCTTCTTTTGGAAGACGATGGAAAGATGATCAAAGCTGACAAAATAGGATTAAACAAACCAAAGCAAAAAAAAAGTGATAAACTATGATTTAGAAGCCATCCCAAAAAAACCTTTACCCTTAACTGGACCACCGTCCCCCACATGACTTAGGAAACCTCCAGCTATGCCAGCTAAGAGTCTGTTTCAGAAACTCCTGTGCCGTCATGTTGATCCTACACCAGTCCTTTGGTTTGGGCGGCATGCCATAGGAGTATCGCCCGAAAATCTCCACGTGAATCCTTGGATGTGCTCAAGAGATTCTGTTCACCAAAAACTCAGGATTTTCAGGACTTCCATCAACAAAATCCAGGATTTTTGTTCCAGAAAATCCAGTTCCCATCAAAAAATCCCAGGAATCTTCAGGTATTTGGCGAAGGCCACGAAGATGGGAATGCCCTGTAAGGAGTCCGGAAGGCACCAGCAACAAGATGGGCAACTGACCTTTTCCGCCTCCTCGTTGACCTATGAGATGACGCAGGGTGACTAGGCAGGACCCTTCCCCCGGTTCACTTCCCCCTAAAACCATGCTTTAACAATGGGCATGAAACCACATATTTGCTAATGTTGGATTTGAAGGGACTTGTGAGCCCCTATTTCCCGCAAAAACTAAAATAAACGTGTCCAACACGTGCATAAAATTTAGTTTGCGGTAGAAATCTCGGAGTAAGTTCGATATGTTTCTTTCAAAAACCATCAGGTGGCGGGAAAAGTCTGATTGTAGTTTCTTGGCTCCCCATTTTCCGTAGTGAATCTGGATACCATAGCTGCTAATCGCTCCCTCCATTACTAAGCATTCTGTACGGGGACGTCGTGGTGAGGTCGTTATAGTTCATCCGATTCCCATGAAACTTTCCCATTACCATTCGTTTCACACCAGAATCACTCCATATCATCATGGTTATCCCAATGATCCTCATTATACCACCATGGTTGGTGGTTAAATCACCATTTTGTGCTGGTTAATTAAGCCAGTTTATAACCCAAATATAAATATATATATATATATACTAGGTACCCTTGACCTAGGCCTAAGGCCCGCCTGGTGACCTAGGATTTTGTGCACCAAGTCCTAAGTCACTGGTGTTGGTACCAGGTGATTTGTGTGCACCAAGTCCTAAGTCACTGGGGTTGTTATTGGACTCAAGCACTTTTTAGGGTAAAAAGAAAAAAATCTTCTCATATCTTCTCCTAATGTCCTAAGTCATCAGAAAAGAGTATGGACTTGGTGCACAACATCCGCTACCACCAGAGGGGCATAAGTCCTAAGTCATCAGAACCTACATACTTACAGTACAGTACAGTACATTGCACTACAGGAAATTACGTTACATTACAGTACATCACACTACAGTACATTACATTATACTACAGTACATTACATTACAGTACAGTACATTACATTACATACATGCATAGGACTTGGTGCACAGAATCGTATGTCACCAGAGGGGCACAAGTCCTAAGTCATCAGAACGTGTATATATATATAAATATACATTACAGTACAGTACAATACATTACATCACAATACATAATACGTCAAAACATTTTTTTTAATAAACAGAAAGAAGAAATAATAATAATAAAAAAACAATCAACAATGAAAAACATAAAGCCTTATATGTTTTTATTTATCTGCTTTAAAATAATGTCTGTACATAAATCGAAGGAGAAAAATGAAAATCGCATATTTTTGAAATATTTTTTTGAAGATGGGCACAAGTCCTAAGTCATCAGACCACTTACATTACAGCACAGTACATTACTTTACACTACAGTACGTTACATTACCTTACAGTAAAGTACATTACATTACACTACACTACAGTACATTACATTACAGTACAGTGCGTTACAGTACATTACATTACATTCATGCACAGGACTTGGCGCACAGAATCGTATGTCACCAAAGGGATGCAAGTCCTAAGTCATCAGAACCTACATACTTACATTACATTGCAGTACAGTACATTACACTACACTACAGTACATTACATCACATTACAGTAAAGTACAGTACATTACACTACACTACAGTACATTACATTACAGTACAGTACATTACAGCACATTACATTATATACTATATACATTCATGCACAGGGCTTGGTGCACAAAATCACATTATATACATTACATTACATACATACTTGGTGCAGCCCACGAGCATGATGACTTAGGCCCATCTTAGTATATTTCTATTAGTGTATTCCTAGGTCATCATGATGTACGAGCGGTCCATGCCGCACTAGATTCTTGTAAAAATCAATATTTTTCAGCAAATCAAAAAAAATCAAACATAGTTCCTGTTTTCAGACGGACACCTGATGAGCCGGGACTTGTCCAGGGGGGGTCCGGCGCATGATGAGATAGGACTTGTCCACCCCGGGGTATCTTTCACAAGTCCTAGTTCACGGGTACCTAATATATATATATATATATAAATAATAATAATAACAATAATAGATATATCATGATATGTATATCTCCATGACTGATTCCGCCAGATTTTCCGAAGTTCGCGAAGTGGCCCAGTCCGAGTAGTCCAGTCCTTCCGTGTACTTCCTCTTGTCCTCATCCGCAATGACCACACCGAAGGCCATCCGGCCATTCTTCTCGTTGGCGAATTCCTCTTCGGTATTCTCCGGATCGTACCTCGGAAATGAAAAGAGCGGGGCGGGAGGCTTACCGGTACGTTGACTTGGTTTCATAGTTGGATGTTTTCAAGTACGTACTCTCTCACTGCTCTCACTGTGATAATGTCAACATTTCTGGAATATTCAACTTTGACAAATCATGTTGTTTTTGTTGTCCGTTTAAGCTGAAGAAATTTTGGGAACAATGAGGTCAACATGACACGGCTTGCCGTGCCTATGACCAGATCCCATTGGCTTGGCACGTTTCCTCATTTTGGTAGGTAGGTCTTTATCAGACATGCAAACATTGTGATTCTTCAGTCAGAAAAAATATCAGGTATCAGGTACAGTATTTTGAGTGCAGGTGATGTTGGAAAATTCCGTCATCTTCTTTTACGATTTGTTAGTGCCCTTGAATTTTCGGTTTATAAATTCGTTGAGAAAATGGGTGAAAAATCGTTGGACAAAAAAATTGGATTGTGGCAAAGATCTGGCCATAAATCCGTCCAGATGCTCTTCCAAGAGACTCCTGACTAACTTGTACTGGGCATTCAGGTAGCAGGTTCCCATCCTTACCAGCGCGTTCAGCCGTGAGGATCTCATGGTGCCCCATTTCCCTAATGCTAAGTTGGTGCACTAATCGCTAGATGAAAACTTGGGTAAATTGGTGGATACATCGAAGTTAGACCGGGGGTTGTAAACCAATTTGTAGCCCAGCATGTATATCATGTCGCTTGAAAAACTGAAAATCTAGAGGTTGCCTCTCAGTAGTGTCAGATACATGTATATAATTAATTATAATTATACATGTGATAGATTCTAGATTTTCCAAAACTCCTCAGATCTGTGAGATTTATGGTTTTACCTTAAAGTAATGTGGTCAACTCGTCAACCCAATTCTAGACCGTCTCCATGGATCATCATGGATCCATGGACTGGCCGGTCAAAAAAAAACTTTCCCCAAATGGGGGGTTCCATAGTCATGGGGGTACCCAATATATAGCTGGATGGTTATTTCATGGAAAATCCATCTATAAATGGTAACTGGGGTCACCTCGATTTTAGGAAACCTCCAAATTCCTCTGAAAATTGGATACGGTTCATCATCATTTTCCCAATGAAAAAATGCCAATATTTGAATGTAAAAATCCCCCAAGTTCAGACCCAAATAGTGCACACTGTCCCAGTGCTGAGTGGCTCATTTGGCACACTGGGCAGGGCATCATCATAAACCGTCAGCGACTTGCCTCCGATCTCCGGCTCTGCTTCCAACAAAGTCACCTGCCATCGATCAGTGAACCAGTTTCACTGATCGAAATTCCTAGGGCCTTCACGGGGCTTCATGAAGAAACATGGTGGGAGTATGGGGATATTATGGGGATATAGTCGGGTGATAGAATATATATAATGGGGAGAAAAAATCCATGGGGGATCCGACTAATAATGGAAGTGTAAGGGTGCCCCCAGGACCGCCCAGCAGGGGGACAAAATCAAGTAGTGACCACCCATAGATCTCCCTGAAACATCGTGAAACCATGGAAGTTTTACCCCACTGTTCCCACCAAAATTCTGCTTGGTTAATTTGACTTATTCCTATCAAATGGCCTAGTTCACAACCCCTGTCAAACCAGGTGCTATAAGCCATGCTGTTACAAAGTCACCTAACAGATCCTAACAGTGTTGAAAGCCATGGTGAAAATATCCCAGACAAGAAATATGGGATATTATAGTAACTGGGGATGTTTATCATCTACAGTGATGTATATCCCATAGTTTCATGAGTATACCAGAACCCCAAACAAATTGTACATCAATCATAATTTCTGGATTATCTCCCTATGTTCGAAGGTTAAAACCTTTACTCCCAAACGCTAAAGTCCTTGCAAGTCATCTGTTTTTATCCAAATCAGTATGATACCTAAAAGTCTCCATAAAAACAGATCGACAGGGTATCATATCAACCATGAACTTATATGAACTTATGCTATCTTCATGTTTTCTTATCCAAATCATCAACCATGAACTCATCAACGCCAGGATTTTTTCGGTTTTTTGTTCCTGCCTTGGTGTAGCCCTTGGCGGCTAGGCACGCTGACATGTGCATCCCTGAAGGTCCACCACCGACGATGATGATCCGTTGCTCAAAGCCGCTCAACTTTAAGCCTCGGTAGCCGCACCGAGCCTCTGGTAAACGTTTACATAGCGAACTGGAAAGATCCACTATTTTTAATGGGTCAATCCACTATTTTGACTGGGCCATTTTCAATAGCTTTTTGTATGTTTACCAGAGGGTAGTGGAAAATGGTGAACATTGGGATTGAGACACAAAATCTTGTGATTTAAATGGGTAAATCACCATGTTCTAGCTGGGTAAATCAACGAACTTTCTATGGCCATGTTCAATAGCTATGTGAAATTACCAGAGGGTATAATGTGCTTAAAACAATCATGTTTACCACCCATGACTGGGAATGGTTTATACATAGCACCTATATTAATTTATGGTGATTTTGGGAATGGTTTATGGATGTTTATGGCATTGTTTTACCGTTTTACATTGCAAAATTGGATGTGAACCACCGGATTTCTGGTTTCATGACGGAGGCGCATTTTGTGCCGCATTTTTTCTCCCGCACCACTGAGGGGGCAAGGTTTTTGGGCCGCAATGCAACTGAATATGTTTAGTCAGAAACTCGAAATACCGATTGTGACAACACAGTGCTGCGGACATGAAATGGGGCATCCGCTTCCAAGTCGCAGGGTCAGCCAAGTGACTTTCCGGCAGCAAATTGGCATTTGGATTTGGATCGATCTGTGGAAACAAGGACTTCAGCGGCTTCAGCGCCATGGCAGGATGAAGGTACAGACTGCTTGTGCTTGTGGCTGCAACTGAGGCAGTGCAATGGGAATCATTGAGGGAGTGAAGAAACGAAGGTTTGCCAATGTTTGCCATTGCCTCATGGTAAATAGATCTGGATTCAACGACGTAACCAGGGTTTCGATCCATCAGCATTCATATTTATATTATATTCATTTATACCATATTTATACCATATGCACGAGATCTAGACTAGATATGATTTAGACTTCTCCAATTTCTCCCATCCCCATCCCAATCCCATGTGGATCCATGTGGTACAATCCCATGAAATGGGGCCCATGTTATGAATCCGACGGCCAGCTGCCAGCTCTGCAAAGCCTGCTTCTTTCATCAAACTGGCAGCCGCCTGAGAGCCCGCTACCCGTAGCTACCGGGGTCCTAAGACTACTATGGGATTATGGGTGTGTCTGAGAATGGTGGTATATTTACGTATTTATATTATAGGGCACCTGAGAATATTACCAGAATGTGGGCTATAATATGCTATAATATTCCTAGCGATGTTTTGTAAGGGTACCTGAAGAGGTAATCAAACATCGCTGGAAAAAAACTCAGCTAAGGGGCATTTAAATTGGAAAGCGATCTATATAGTATTTAGGGAAAAAATGCATTGCCATGTTTGACTACCATACCAGAGGATATACCCCCCAAATGGCAATCTTAATAGGATGATCAAACGGTGGATGGAATGGGGTACCCTTTTTGCAGAGAAAACAACGTGAAAGTATGTGCATCCAGATATGTTTCATCACTAAACTGAGACTGATGGATGATGAACATCTTAAAAGAAAAAAAACACATCACCGCGGGTTTTAGGGATCATCCAAGTATTGAATGTGTAGTGTGATCCTGGGCAAGACTTTTGCTGCATTCGGGGGTTTTGCGATGTTTTGCGCATGGGCTCATTTTGAGACCACTTGTGACCCTGTAGTCCTTGTCAACGTACTTGAATGTTACAGTCTGTGTGACTTTGCCCTGGGTGAATTCCCTTTTGTGGCCGATAAGTCAACTTGGATCCCCATTTCTTTCCGGAGAAATCTCCCTTTTTTTTTCTGGAGAAATCTCCCATTTCTTGTTGCTGAAGTTCAATATCCCTATGTTTGCTACTGAAACAGTGCAATGTCACCCATTTTGCTGAATAATTTGACTAAATATCATGATTTTTGTTGGGTTGAAGATCCCTTGGGCAGCTTAACGGCTCCCGACTGCCGAGGCCTCACTGGGATCCTTCCGCAGTACTCCTGGCCCGCCCTAAGGATCCAGCCGTATCTTGGGAAGTATTGGGATCCATGGGCGATACAGGAAATACCCAGACATGTTAAAGCTGGTTGGTGGTGCAATAACCATCTTGAAAAATATGAAAGTCAATAGGAAGGATTATCCCATACATGATGGAAAATAAAAAATGTTTGAAACTTGAAACCACCAACCAGAAAGGGATTTAAAGGGTTCAACTACACAAATGCGGATTCAACCCTGGGGATATCTACACACAAAGGTGATGTGATAGGTCTGTTATTACTGGGCCAAATTGGGCACATCATTCAAAGCCGCGGAAAAGGTATATCACGGAATCGACGGGGTGAATCTTATATCGTTTTCCATTCCTGGACCTCGCTTTGCCTACCTCGGTCTTGGGGTGTGCCCACCTAGTTTTGCAACGCCCATCATCCCGGGTACCTAGACCCTCAAAGTACCTTCAAAAAGGATAACTAACAAAACACGAACCCCCTAAATATATGTCATAATTAACACTAATGAATCCGAAAATATCCGAACATGATTCCGGAAATCATAGGAACTGGACATACTAATCTTAAAAAAGTATTGGTGACGTGAATGGGTCCAAGGTCCTTCGCATCTTTTCCAGCAGCCCGTCCTGTAGAAGGCGCGAAGTAGAGATCCTGACGTCCAATCTTCCCATGTATATGGTATTGATATTGATATCCATACATCCATCAATTATATCAACTATATCAATTACCCTCTGGTTATTTAACATAGCCATGGAAAATCACCATGTTTAGTAGGTAAACAATCTATTTCTATGGGCCATGTTCCATGGCTATGTTAAACAACCAGAGGGTATATCTTTATGGTTGGGACAAGGTGAGGCCACCAGTTATGTTTCTTGATTTATAAACCCATTCACTACAATTTTTATCCCCCACAAACTAGTGAACCAAGTGATGTGCGCAAGTGATGTGCGTCAACTTCGCAACTTCGCTATCATAATCAGTTGTTCCCATGAAATCCCATGAAATCTTCATCTTTGTTGGTTATATCCACCATTGTCCACTGGTTGAAACGTACGACTGCCCTGGAGACTCGTTCTGCCGTCCTGGCTGTCGGCTCCCTCCACGTCACCCTCCAAATTCCTGTGGTGCCAAGAGGCCGGCTGCGGGCAGCTCGACACAAGAAACATGGACGTCACCACGACGAAATTGGATGTAACTGATGTGGCTTCCTCCATTCTTGTAAAGACCAAACTATTATATATAATTATATATATATATATTGCTGATGATATCCAATCATGACTCAATTATATACTCAATATTACCGTTATAAACCAATCATGGATATTTATTTAGCAGATTGTTGGCTATACAATTCTTTCTACAATAGATAATATATCCCTAATATATCCGGATTCTATTTTATCCTTGTTATTGCTGGTAAAGAAAACACGCGCAAACAACCCAGAGGGATGATTTTAGTGTGGAGTGATAGGATAGTCACAATCTTCTGATAGTTGATTATATCCCAGATTCCCGTAGCCTTCCAACCATATTCCCTTACTATTCCAAGAGTTATTGCCCTTGACCAGTTTGAAGTCAGTAAGTCACCCCATTTACGGAATGATATCCCCATGTATAACTAAACCATCAAAAAAAATACTCAGAAATAAGGCTCTAACTGAACTCTCCCTATATATATATATATATCCTATAGCTATCCCCTGGGTCGCCTTAGCTATCCCCACTAGAACCCGCAAAAATGCCGTTCCAATCCCACACCTGGGACATCTCAGTTGCCAGCACGGATTGAAGAACTCCGGACGGGTGCCTGGGTGGCCAGGAGGGTGCCCTGATGTATGTCGAAGTAGCAAGAAGACTGGTTCAGACAGTGTCTGGTGACATGAACGTTAGGACTAAAAAAGTGACTCAAAACCAACAGAAAATAGGATTTAGACCCCCCCAAAATAGGATTGAAGCAACAAAAATAAGGATTCCACAGAACCAGACAGGGGATCCATATAATCAACATGGAATAAGCTCGAAGGTGGTTCAACCTGGTTTTTTAAGATCTCAAATTGTTCAGCATGCCAGTATGCTTGAATCGACATCTGTTCAAGACAACACAATATTGGCCCAAATATCAACAAAAATCAACATCTGTTCAAATATGGAAACAATGTCGAATTGATGAAAACAAAAATGAAACAAACATGAAACAAAAACAATATTTTTGGCTCAACAAAAATGAAACACAGATGTTGAGCCAAAATTGGACCGACATCTGTCGTTGTTGAAAAACGTCACCAGCTGCGTCGCTGCCAGGTCTTCAAGGTCCACACGTTGGAATCCGATGCCCAGGACATCTTCATCCACCGTCAACAGCTCCTGGAAAACCGCGGCCATGGTTTTTTTGTGGGGAAAATGTGAAGAAAAACAACCTGTGGATTAGATGGTTTAAAGATGTTTGAAACAAGATGGGATAACTTGGGAGTCATGAAATGTTTGCAATGAATATGATTCTGAATTATCCATGGTTCAGCTTAAAATGCTACTATATAGTATGCAGAACAAAATGGCTAACATTGGACTCTTGACATTCATTTTACCAACAATCATCCGGAGCCCGTGTTAGCAAAAATGGAAACTCAACACAAACAATGACCATGTTGCACAGCGTCGCCCTAAGTTCTGAATGGTGTTTCAAAGACATCAACCGGTTTTGGTAAACCAGCCCCATGGCTGGCTGGACGCAAAATATCCAAAGATTCAAGGGCCGCGAAACCCTGGAGAACAACAACATTCCGAATGGAAATTCAATCTATTATATATATATATATTATAACTCAACTGGCAAGCCTCAGCAATTTCCTATCATCCAAAAATGCTAAAAACGCTGAGTTCAATCATCCTCGAGAAAGCTCTAGATCCGACGCGTCAACCGGACGACCAGCGGCGCTCCGTGTCATTCTCGCCCTCAGGACGTTGCTTGGACAACTTCGACTGGAGCCCTGCGGCCACTGCGGCCCAGTTGGGTCAATGGATGCTACGTGCGATGGAACAGGTGCCCCAGTTGGGAATTGCTCAGGTGCAAGTAACTCCAAGAATTAGGGTTGATTAGGGGTATATTATATAATATATATATATATGATATATATATATATAACTATAGTTAAAGGGGATAAACCAACTTATCACTGGGGGGCACCAGCCTGAACCACTTGTTCAGATAGCTTTGGGGAAATGATTCTCGCATCGATGGTGCCCTTGGCCAGTAGATATACTTATAATTGCCATAAACCCTAGTGAAATATGTGTGAACTAAATCAATTTAGCTGGCATAATCAATTATAAATCCCCATTTTGCTTGGTTAAATACACATCTTCCTAAGATAAATCATCATTTGTTTGTGGTGAAATACAGATTCTCCACATCAACAACCCCCAGCCTGGTCTTGGTCTGCGTGGCATGGCTAAGCCACCATGCTGGCTGATGAGCTGCTGACTAATATGGCGTTGCTGGAAAGTGGTGGGCTGAAAGTGATGATTTGGATTGCAATACCCGGATTATACACGTGCTATTAGTGGTCATTAGTAGTAGTATGACGTAGTAATTTTATGTAATTTTGACTCAATCCTGGTTCGTTTTGCAATTGGTAATTGGTAAATGGTCGGATTGGATTCGAATGCTTCAATATTGACTGAATCATTATAGTAATATTCATATGATTCAGGTATTACTCGATATCGTTGCTGGTATGATACATCAATCAAGTGAGGAAAGAGGTATTACAACTATATAAATGCGCTCAAAGGGGTGCAGGATGATGGTTTATATGCAGCCTGTGATTTGTTGGATGAGTCGTGCGGATAAGAGAAATGTAAAGCAATTGCTTTGGATAATTCAAACTCTAAGATCGCAGGAGCCTGCAATCCATGTCACGATGTGGGTCAAGACTGGCCATGGAAAGCTGAGGATTTTGACTCAATCTATATATAGATTTCTTGTTGGAGTTCCAAACATATCCAAAAAAACATTACATGAAGGCAAAGGCTTTATCAGTAAATTATCATTAATTATTCTGGCTGTGCTTTATATGATAATTTCCCATGATGTGCTATAACAATCCTATAATATATATATATATATATACATATGTGTACATATAATTTAACCGATATTTTTCTATATACATGTATACATACACATAACTAGCCAGTATAACCCCTGTCATGAATCGCCATAATCTATTGTGGTAAGAGTCACTCCGTAAGATACTGTTATAGTCAGTGGGGATTTTACTCACCCATAGTGATCTTTATTCGAATTATCCCCTATCCATCAACATACCATGTTTTCATGAAAGCGAAGCATTGGAACATCCTATGCAATGAACCAATGTCAACCCCGGATTAATAATCCGTGGTTTATTAAGATTAGGGAGGTATTCCTCCAATAGTCATTCTCTGGTACTTTTTTATGTTACCTTCTCAATTAAACAGCCGTTTGGGGTTTATCAATCCGGGCTTGACATTATATCCTAGTACTTATATGCAATTACAATCCCATTAATAAATTCCCAATGAACCAACCCGCTGGTTATATCATCTTATATCCCAATGTTGAATGCTTCTATCACTGCTATCCCTAGTGTTTCCATGTTTCAATAGCGTGCCAAAAACGCCGCCACGGCTGGCTGCCGGATGGGCTGCCGAACCGTTCTGCGGCACACGATGCGAGCGCCTCGGAGGTGCGAGTTTAACTTGCAGATTTTTAGGGATTTACAAGGATGAAAACAGGGATTTATAGATTATTGGTGTTAATGGATGTATATATCAGAGGTTTGTACGCAAATCCCCGTAACTGCAAAAAATGGTATGTGCCTGTGCCATTTTTTCCCAAATCCCGGAGATGGGCACATACCCCGGAGAAGGGCACTTGACTCTGAACCCTGCAAATATGCATTAAAAAGACCTGGTGCCCTTCTCAATGGTACGTGCCCATCTTAGATGGTCACTTGTCCTGAGATAGTCCGCAAATGAGCGAGAACCCTCATCCAGCCCTTCGAATATATATAGATATTTAAAGTATTTATAGGCTTTACCACAATGGATTTATAGATAATTTATAGTATTTTTGTGAAATTTGTTGTTAATTTTATAACTAACCTGGTTAAGAAGGGATTTCCCATAATGGATCATGATAAACTCCATTGGATTTCCCATACTCGACTATATTTGAGGATAATGATATCTTAGATAGTTGATACTGATTAAATAACAATATTAGTAGTCAATATCTATTTTAATAAGATTACCCTTTGGTAATCAAACATGGCAATGAAAAATCTAAATTTATAGATATTGAAACAAAGATAGATACCCTCCGGGATTCAAACGTGGCTAGCTGGAAACCCCGGTGGCCCAAATGGAATATTCTTTATAAAGGAGAGATCTTCCATTGCCATGTTTGACTCCAGTGCCTTCATCCCAATCCCCCGTGCTACCCTCTGGTAAACGTTTACATAACTATGGAAAATCACTATGCTATTAATGGGTAAATCAACGAAGTAAATAGCCAGTTTCAATAGCTATTTTGACATAACCACAAGGTATTTTCTTGATCAATTCACCATCCAGAGCCACGGCACCCAGCCGGGCATCCGCACAAGCACAGCGAGAGCTTGGCATCATCCAAGAAGCGCTCGGTGACGTCCTCGCCGAACCTCGCGGTGTTGCTTGATGTGTAAAAAAGCTGAAGCCCACCCCCAACAAAAATTGGTTTTGAAGCTTCAACGCCCCTAAAATGGCAGGTTAGTTAATGTTAACTAACTATGTACCATAATGAACTAGTGTATGTATATTATATACTTGGAACCTTTTTGGCGACTGTTTTGGATGGGTTACCTGATAGTTTGCGGGTCAAAATCCTCAAAATGGTGGTCATTGGGTTCAATCTAGACCATAGTACAACATATATCAACATATAGCATCCACAGCGCACATCTTCTGTATGTCAAAAATGACACCGTATGAACTGTTTCTCCGCACCATCATTTCTGCGTGTGCATCGACCAAATATCAACTGTTTTTGTAAACTTCCCATTCCTGTCCTTTAATCAACCTTTAACCACTGTCCGGCTTTGGTTGACACAAAATTAGCTCATGGTGGTTTATCAGGGAATGTTCGGGAATCCCAGATCATTTCCCATACCGGCATTTTTTCGTGCTGGAGTCATGGCTGGATCAGAATCTACATGGTGCTGCAGTTTCAATAGAATGCTGCGCAGCTACAATGCACGTATCTGAAAGAAACAATTGTCAGAAGGTGTCAGTCAAAAATGCGTCATAAGCAACATAGGGTTCATCCATGTTCATCCATTCTTGTTTGGGATTACCATCCATTTTCCAGATAAACCATCCATAACTTGGGGGTACCCTAACGCATCCTCAGCTCCAGACATCACCGCTACTCTGCCACGCTCAGACCTCGGATGGAATTGCTACGTTGGTGCAAAGAACTAGGCTAACGTTGGTAAGGTTATAAGTTATAAATTATAAAACATATATACATAATGTATTATATTGAAGTATTAGTTAAATGATATTATCTAAAATTACATAAACCATATATACATCATATATATATATATATTAATTAGTTATAATATTATTTATATGTGATTTATAAACCACTATAAACCAACATGGAACTGGGGGGGTGGGGGGATGGGGGGCACCTTTCAGGAAGAACTGATGTGATCAGCTGGGTAAGCATAGCCAACAACTAGTTGTGGCAGATAGGATTACAAAAGTATATATAGCTAAATATATTATTCTGATAGAAGCAACAAACAATTCGGGCACATGGCCAAGAAGTAACGAAGAAACTGCAACTATTTTTTTTGTTCATCTACGCCCAGGCAATGCGAACAAAAGTTGGATCTGAAACATGATGCAATGCTTTGTTCATCACCTATATAAAGCATCTTTTGAGGCACTTGTGGCAAAAAAGACATGAGGTTCCCAAACATTTGGTGTTCCCCATGTGAAATTTTGGATGTGTAAATGCTGTTTTTTGTTGGGGACTCGTGACATGTTGGAGCCGTGTCTCTGGACCCCCATGACCTGGAATAGGGATTCCTTCAACTTTGATCCACACCACCCTTCTGTTGGGCTGAAAAATACTATGTATATATATATACTATGTGTATATATATATAGTGTATATATATATATACTATATATACTATATATATATAAACTATATATATACTATATATATACTGTATATAATATATATATATATGTTATATGTATACAATCTATAGTAATTTTGCCCGGTAGTCAACCGTGGTGGTGAAATGATGTAAAATCCGTATCTGCAGTTGGCTTCTGCAATTTCCAACGCACATATCCATGAAATCGCCAGAATTGAGGATGCACTGTTGGGTTCAATATGATTCTAGGCTATTAGATTTATGGTTAAATACAGTACTATGTTATATATATATATATTATATTATGTATACATACATATATATATATATCTGGTTGGTGATTTCAGCCCCTCTGAAAAATATGAAAGTCAGTTGGGCTGATTCTTCCCAACTGAATGGAAAAATAATCCAAATGTTCCAAACCACCAACCATATATATATATATATACATCCATATTTCGAGCAAAAGATTCGTTGTGAAGTATATAAAGTACCCAATGAGGTCCCCAGTAGTACTCAATCTCCGCTAGATTTTCGAGTTCATCTCCCATCCGGTTGAGCAATGAAAAATACCCCTATCCCATCCAATTATACTGGTTGGTTGGGAAATAATATATTTGGATTATCAGAATAAACATCAATAAACATCAATAAACCAATTGATGAGTATAACCCCCAACCGCCCCAACCAATTAACACATCAACCCTCGGTATTTTTCATGGCTTAGTTGTCATCATCTGAGATCTCCTACCGTTTGGAGCCGATACCATGGTGGGGGTCGGCCTCAGAGGTATGGCTTTCCGCAGCAAGGAAACCACTGGGAACGTGTCGCCAGAAATGGGGAAGTTTCGCCCAAGTTATGCTGATTGGTGGTGTCAACCCATCTGAAAAAAATATGTTGAAGAATGTTGAAGAAACATGTTTGGCACCACCAACCAGTATGGCAAGTTTTACCACAAAAAGGACAGTTTTTTTAACCTGTGGATTTCGGGACATGCGATTTTTTGGTTGGGAGACTGGGAAACCCTTCAGTTCTTGAATGGGGGAACCAATGGTTAAACAGGATATGTTTACAGTACCCAACTTTGAGAAACATACTTCTCTATAAGCATCTGCTTCACCATTTAATTATAAGTACTTAACTATTTACCCACCAAAACGTGATGTTTTACCAACTGCAACTAATCAAAGCGATATGAATTTCTACAAGTATCTCCATGACCAAGTGGCCCAAAGCGCATCGAACAAGA